GCATTGCGGCTTAAGGGTACGAAGGCTCTCTCAACCCCAGCCAATGACAGGAACTCAGGAGCCTCCAATGCCAAGGCCACACCGAAGGAACTCAGAACATAGCTTCGGCTATGTGTGTGAGAACGCATAACCGTATCGTCTCGTATGGTGCAAGCCTGTTATGTACCACATGATGGCGGTGACAGCTGCTTTTTTCAAAATCGCTTAGTCTGTTCTTAGATCTTCTCCTCTCGGGTCGTTAGAAATGCCTGCGCACCCCCGCAAAGCCAGCTTCTGCTTGTCAAACCGGCAGTATCAGTCGTTTCTGTGATACGCCCAACGTCGTACCTGCCCAGACAGATCGAATTTTGACAAATCCAACTTACCGCATTTGTCAAATGTGGGCTTGCGGGAATTGTGTGGGATCCTGCGCCACCCTATTCGGCGATATTCCCTTCTTCCACAGGCTTCCTTTAAAGGGTTAAAATAACGGTACTATAAGGGCTCCTTTAAAGGGTTACTATAAGGGTAGTATAAGGGTTCCTTTAACGGGTTACTATAACCGTACTATAAGGGTTAAACCCTGATTGCATCTTGCGGGTAGGCGGCCCTCACCTGGTCGGCCTTTCCGCCGTCTGGGACGCAACTGAGCCCGCTCATCCATTTCCAAAGCTTTGCAAAGCTTACAGTGTCCTCATGCCTCTCAGGTCAAGCAAACGGAACTGCAGATCTTGAGAACGCCCCCCTTTTTCCAACCCGCATTCCAAGAAGGAGAAACCTGAAGCGAGAGCTATGTAGGCAAGCTGGCGAATTCAGGAGAGTCACGGAGTCTGAGGTGGTTTATGCCTAGAGTTGGGAAATTGGGAAGTACGAACCCGGGCCCGAAACTCCCAAACTTCAATCGACCTGCCTTCGCTCTGAGCTTGGCCGCTGTATTGAGGCTCCTGACCCATGCGTTTCGGTGGGTGGGCTGTCTTGCTGACCCTAAATTGCGACTTTGGAGGCCTTGCACTACCTCCCCTACCACCTTCACCAGCCGATACAGTAGGAGTCAGAAAACATTAACACCCCTGAAGAACACAACTCCTCAACATGCTTGACATATTTCTCCTTCCTGCTGTTGCTCTTCTACTGTTCCTCTTCGGACTCTCGCGAGAATTACTCCCAAAGCATCGTGGTAACACTTGGGGCAGCCATTTGGGGTGCGACTGCTCTTCCTGCCGCAGCCCCAGTGTTTCCGCCTCGCGAGATTCCGCCAAATCGTGCTGTGCCATGCCTTTCTTGGGTGCATCTCGTTTTTCAGTCCTGCGCGTCTTTGGTGCGACTCGCGTCCCTGTCACGCTGGTGCAAGCTCTGGGCGCCGACCGTGCTATCGGTTGCACATGTTGGACTCATGGGATGGCCTTGGTAGCCTCATAGGTTCTCTTGGAATGGTTGCTTCGCTGCTTCGTTCTACTCGCGAAGATTCGACAGTGCTCTTTTTAACACACAGCGCGCTAGTATGAATACGTGTCCTACCCGTCTACTGGTCTACTAGGCCACGCCACGAGTCTACAAGTCTTCTAGTCGACTATTCTACCAGGCTACTACTACCACCAGCAGCACGAACCACCACTGCCACCATCACTACTGTTAGTTTGGCGACTACTGTGCCTACGACGACGACTACTACTACTACGACTACTACGACGGCTACGACTACGACTGCGACTGCCACTGCTACTACTACTGCTACTCCTGCGGCTGTTGCTACTGCCACTGCTGCTGCCACTACTACCACCACCATCACCACCAGCACCACTACCACTACTCCTGCTGCTGCTGTTGTGCTACTGCTAACTGCTGTAGCTACTGCTGCTGCCACTGCTGCTGCTGCTGCTGCTGCTACTCTACTGATGCAAGCACCACCACCACCACCACCACCACCACTACTAGTGCCTTTCTTTTGAACCCAGGCTCAAATCCGGCATCAGCTGGGAATCGGCAATAGTACTATTAGTACCTGCACTACCACTACTGTAACTGTAACTGTAACTGTAACTGTTACTGCTACTGTTACTACTACTACTACTACTACTACTACTACTACTACTACTACTACTACTACTACTACTACTACTACTACTACTACTACTACTACTACTACTACTACTACTACTACCTACTCCTACTCCTACTCCGACTCCTACCTCTACTCCTACTCCTACTCTCTACTGCTACTGCTACTGCTACTGCTACTGCTACTGCTACTGCTACTGCTACTGCTACTGCTGCTGCTACTGCTACTGCTACTGCTACTGCTACTGCTACTGCTACTGCTACTGCTACTGCTACTGCTGCTACTTCTACTACTACAACTACTACTACTACTACTGCTGCTGCTGCTGCTACTACTACTACTACTACTACTGCTACTACTACTACTACTACTCCTACTAATTACTACTACTACTACTACTACTACTACTACTACTACTACTACTACTACTACTACTACCACTATAACTATCACTACCACTACCACTACGACGACTACACCTGCCACTGCCACTGCCACCACGACGACGACTACTGCTACTATTGAAAGTATCACTCTGACTGTTTGAACATGAAAGAAATGTGGCGGGCCTGGGTCTCCACCTGCGGGATCTGAGCTTCCGCTTGCGGCCGTAAGCCTTGCGCCATGTCTGGTCCTTGCCACACGGGGAGGGGGGTGGATGGGGAATGTGTTCAAGCTTGAGTGCTGGGGGGTGTGTTGGGTTTGAGGGTTCTGGGTTTATGGAGGGGTTTTGTAGGGATTCTGGGTCTGGCATGGAACGAAGCCGAAACAGATCTTCGTCGCAGCTTTTTGGGGCTTGGATTGTGGGATGTTGTGGGGTGTCGGAGGCTTGAAGCCCATTGTGATAGTCAGGCTTGGTGCTGCGTTTTGTGGCTGTCTGGCTAGCACCCCGTGCGTTGCCCCACAATGCCAGTATAAGATACTGGTCAAGAATCCCCTGATTAATGCTCTCCTCGAAACCAGGATGCAAACAAAAGCCCCGTATCACCCTTAAGGCCCTGACTAGGCCCAAAAGTCCTACATTGCCTACATTCCAAGCCCTCGCTCGCTTCCCTGAGGCGGCCACCCATGTGGCCCGAGATACACCGTGGACTCAGTGCTTCATCTTCCTCGAGCTCCTGCTTCCAGGCTTTAATATAGGGGGCCTTAATCATTGGAATAGGCTTTAAAGGGCTCCTTTAAAGGGGTCTATAAGGGGTTACTTTAAGAGCTATTATAAGGATTTAGCACAGGGGCCTTAATGATTAGAATGTGTTTTGGGGCCCATTATACTACAATTATACTAAAAACCCCCACGCTAGTAGACTCGCACACTCGCTCGATGCAGGCACGGCTTCATGGGTCTTGGTTTATAGGCCTAGTTTAGGGTTTAGGGTACCCAATGACTGACTAAACGGCTCGGCCTCATCCTTGACGGTTTGGGCCACTGCTAGGGTTACGAGCGTGCCTTCTTTAGGGGATGCACCGTCAGAAGAAACCATAAGGCGTTTATGGGCGAGCTGTGTACTTTTTGAGTCCACCTTGAAGGTGCACATGCTCAAATATGAAGGCTTCAAGCTTACAGCCTCAGACTTCTAGAGCTTTATTAAGGCTGCGCCGACTCCTGAAAGCTGATGACAGATAGGTGGTCTGGGGTTTAGAGTAATCACTAGATCCTGCGGGACATCGAGGCATTGGCCCATGTGCTAGTCACACCGGTGGGAAGCCTCGTGGAACAATGCAAGTTGAGGCTCAAGCCCCACTGCCCAAAACCCTGAACGCGGCCTGCACACACCCACACACCCACACACTCACACACACACACACACGAGTAAACCCTAAAGAGACACAGAGCCCACATGGAATCCCTGAACCCTCAAGTACCTCAACTGCAGAAGCCCGCCGAAGCAACGACAAACACACCGGACGTCGGAGTCTCCTGTGAGTCATGGCCGGAACCTTAGATGGTAGTTCCCTGAGTTAAGTGCCTTTTCCAAAGGGCCCTACCAGTAAAAGGGAACTTGGTTCGGAGAACTACCCAGATTTCAATAGCAGCTCGGACTGCCATGAAGTTCTGACGAATAGGGCTTGGGGTCCCCATGTGACTGCAGTGTGGTTGCTTGAAGCTACAGTCTTAACGGTCTTAGCCGGCAAAGCCGTAATGACATAACAGGTAATATCATACGGAGACCATTCAACGTGGCGGATGGTATGGGTGCTTCCACGAGCCTGGTGTTCTGACTATCGCTGCTGTGGTTGTTCCTGCCAGATGCTGCTGCTGTCGCTTCTGACCTCGGAAATAATAGCAAACTCCGACCCGGAGTGTTTCACCCATATCTACAAACTACTGCAAAACAAACACTGCACCATCCTCAACCACAACACCGGAGCCTTGTTCCTACCAGGTCTGTAGCTTGGATTTGTGTGTTTCGGATTGGGATGCTGGAACTTTTCATAGAGCCCTCCTGTTTAAATAGCCTGGGTTGTAAACTGCAGACCTTTGAATTTTAGGGCCCAAAATCATGCAATCCCATCCGAGCCTGTGTTTGTGCGGCAAGTGGTTGTTATTTGGTGGGTGGGAGCGGTGGTGGTGATAGCAGTCGTGAGGACGACTATTCCGAGGCACAATCGCGCGGCATTGCATTCACAAGCTGAAAAGCCACATGACTGCCTAGCCCCATCTCCAAATGCCCAGTAGCTACGTGGACCAAGAGTGGCTCGAATCATAGGTACAGAACCCACACGCACAAACGGAGTTCGCACTTTCACACTCGGGCTAAACAGATGTGCTTCCCGGCTCGCGGTCCGCAGAGTGAGAAACATCACTTCTAATAGAGTGCAGCCCGCCACGCTCCAATGGCACCCATACATGCGCCGCGAACAAACCCAGCCGACCTAGTAGTTTATTGCGCATGCTCCAACCCATTCAAATAGCACAGCGTGGGGAAGGCACCCTATCTGTCCAAAACTGCCTACAGCTGTGTTAGAGTCGCACACTCTGGTTCCGCAGTCTCGGAGAATAGGTCATGCTCAGATCCGCTCCCAGCACACCTTCGTTGACATTGGCCTCAAAAAGCTCGAAGTTGAGGGTGTCGGCATAACTTCGCAACCTCTTGTTCCTTGCTTGCTGAATTCACAAGCCAGAAACAATGTAAAACTTCAGCTCTATGCTGAATTCACAAGCCAGAAACACTGTAAACCTTCGGTAGTCTATAGTGGGTAACCTTATCACCAAGAGTGTACTCAGGTTCTGACAGAAAGGGGCCTTCGGGGCCTTAACAATTAGAATAGGGTTTCAGGGGCCCACTACATATTCTGTAACTACCATAAGGATGCCCCCCCCCCCCAAAAAAAAAAAAATATAATTAGTTATGTAGGCACCTACGTTATAGCATCCTTATAGATCCCTTATAGTAACCCTTATAGACCCCTTTAAAAAGAACCCTTAAAGGAGCTCAGGTTCTGATAGCCACCCGAGGCTAGGCTCACGACGATGCCATTGAAGCCCATGCGGCCGCAACGACCGGCTCTATGCGCATAGGTCGCAGCATCCCCCGGGAGCTCAAAATTCACCACGTGAGTCAGGTCCTATGCAGGGCTTTAGGCAAAGACGAGTCTCCTGTTTGAACGAGGTCTCTCTGATGTGCCTCCAATGGTCCAAGTTGGAAGAAGGGTCTCCAACCCTAAGCCCTAGATCCACGCGCAGCACTACCGGCTGATACTAAGCCCTAAACCCTAAAACCCTAAATCTCTCCGTTTGTTTGTTCTGTTAGTGGACTGGACTTTGAAGTAACAAGGGAAGAAAGTATAGACTGTCATTTTATAATGGTTCCCTGAAGGAGCAGGTACCAAAAAAGAATTCAAGTATGGTTCTCCAAATCGAGGTAAGACAAGGAACCCCAAAACGGAAACCCTGAACCCCTAACTCCTAATCCCTAGACTCTAATCCCTACACCTTAAACCCCTTTGTTCTGCTAGTGGAGGGTCAGGTCCTTGAAATCGAGACCCCGCATGGCCGCGTCGGTGGAGACCAGGGCCTGAACCTCTGAGTTCCCAGAGACTGCAACATCCCTTCATTAAGGAAGATTCCGAAAATTAGATGAGGGATCCCAAAAAATATTTTAGGAATATTCCTTCATTAAGGGTTCTTCCTTAAATTATATAGTAGGATTCCTAAGATAAATTAAGGAATATTCCTTAACTGAGGGATATTGGAGTTCTGGGTCTCAGAGAGGAAAGGGACCTGAATTTCGAAGCTGAAAAGGGATCTATAGGGGATCCATAGGAGGGTTCCGCAATGTAGGGGCCTCAAAAAATTTCAACAGAAGTTCCTGTATAATGGGTCTATAAGGGCTAGGGTTTATCCCCTCCTACTTAAGACTTAGCACGGAAGGTGACGTCGATGCAAGAGTTGAAGGCAGCTTCGCAGATGAAGGGTGTCAGCACTCACGACTGGTTTAGGGTTTAGGGACCCTTAGACAGTACCTATAGTCTCCATTGTAGCTCCTTTTTGGGGGCTACCTTCTAGGATCCTTAAAACTAAAATTGGTTAAACCAAAAAAGGAACTACAATGGAGACTATAGGCTAGTATCCTTCTTGCTTATTCCAAAAAGCCCTCAGAAAACGGGTGACCCGTTTTCTGAACCCCCCCGACCTGTCCCTTGGCCACACGGTAGATGGCCTGAGCCGCTCTTACAACCAAAAGAAAATAATGTTCTCATACACCCCCTTAAGATACAGCATAACAAAACAAAAACAGAATTCCTAAACCCAGTATAAGAAACAAACAACAATTCCTAACAGCAGCAAAGGGGCCATGTCACGAGCTTCTTTCGATCGGTTGCCCGTGAGGTACTCGGTTGGAATGCCCAGCTGCTTGTCCATCTGCTCCGCCACCTTGCGGACACGCTCATGGTTGTTGCAGAAGACGATGAAGCCTAGGTTTCCCCCAGTGCCCCGGTCCCCACTCATAAGGGCAACTACCCTTGTTCCTGGTTTCCATTTTAGTAAGGGAACCCTCATCTGTAAAGTGCAAAAGGGCACTACTGGGGAACCCAAAGGCCCCAAAGTAGTTCCATTTTGGGGTTCATATATATAGAATCCTGTATAGAAGGTAATCCCAAAAAGGAACTGCTTTGGGGCCTAGAAGCTGTTACAGGCAGGGTCCGAGGTGGACAAGCGCCTGAGGAAGCTGAGCTTTTTGTCCACGTCCGGAGCACCGTTCACGAGATGGAGAACTCGCTTCGGCAGCTCCATCCCATGCCTGGGCCCAACGAGCTTCCAGTTATCCCGTAAGATGGTCTCTGCAAAATCCAGGGCATTCCCTTCCATGGATCCACTGGCAGATACCAGAATCCGCTGGGCTTGTTCGTTGACGCCGATGTGCTGCAGAAGAAGCTGCAGGTGGTCCTTACGAGACATACTCAGGAGGGCATCGACTTCGTCAAAGACGATGGCATCCAGCTCACTGAGAATCAAACCTCAGTGTAACCCTGCTGTAGTAAACACAATCCTCTTCAGCCCAATAAGGGCCATATGTGTGTGTGTGTATACATATATATATATATTCATTTGCTTATTTATCTGCTTATACGAAATACCACCCCAAAATACCCAAAAATGCAACATACCCCCAAGGCTTACCAAGAGACGGCCCTCCATGGAGTGGTCCATCAGCTTTCCAGGAGTGCCAACAATAACGACAGGCTGCCTTTCCGCAAGAGTTTAGGGTTTAGGGTTTAGGGAAGCCGCTCGCCCTAAACCTTAGAAGCTGCCCCCACCCTGTAATAGTGACCATAAGGATACTATAAGGATTATATTAGGGCCCTGTTATATTCCTATTATACCACTATTACAGGGTGGGGGCAGCTTCTAACCTAAACATTATAAACCCTACAAGCCCTAAACCCCTAAGCCAGCCCTTTTGCATCCAGGCCTCCTGTGGTGTTGCCGGGTTATCAGCGCACTTGCACCGAAGATACGAAGGAAACAGCACTCAACAGCCAGCCCTAAACCCCTAAACCCTCTGCCTCTCCGCAAGCCGCTCGTCCTGACGCTTGTGGTTGTCCTTGCCCACCAAGAGCGTGACATTGAGCCTCATAGTTGAATGAAGTTCATAGAGCAGTCGATCAAGGTGCAGCTTTCGCGTCTAGCGGTGTGTGGATGGTATATGTATACATCTATGCCCACATTGCATTAGCCCAAGAGATTTGATCTAAAGTCTATACAACTCTGACCCAAACGAGTTTTGAAGCCTATGCAACTCCGAACTCTGTCGACTCACATCAACCCTGAGCCCTCCAAAGTCACAAAAAAAGCCTGAATACTTAGAATAGGGTTTTGGGGCCTATTCTATATACCACAAATAAGTATGATTAAATATGACAAGGAACCCCCAGAATACTATTGGCAAATATATTTTGGCCCCTAAAACTTATGTCCTAAACTCACGTGGCGAGCAGCTGTGGGAAAGGTCTCAGGAGGTCGGCGATGACCCGCGCAGTTTGCCTCGAGAGCTCCCGGCCGGGGGCCACCACAAGAATCTTCGGCTTGCTGAGAATCCTGGGTTTAGGGGTTCGGGATTTCAAGGAGTTCGGTTGGAGTTACCAGGGGTGTAGGGTTTATATATGGGTTTCGGGGTTTAGGGCTTCCGGGCGATGCATGTGGTTCGGAGAATTTTGGATTTCGGGTTTAGGGGGTTCAGGGGAGTTTGGTTGGAGTTACCATTACCACGGTTTAGGGTTTACGGTTTAGGGTTTAGGGCTTCGGGGTTTCGGCGCTCACACTCGGACAATCCAGGCGAGGCCTGTGGTTCGGAGAATCCTGGGTTTAGGGTTTACGAGGTTTAAGGGAGTTTGTTTGGAGTTACCATTACCACGGTTTAGGGTTTACGGTCTAGGGCTTCGGGGTTTTTTCCGGAGTTTGGCTGGAGTTAAGATAACACGGATCTATGGAAACTAAAAATGGCTCCCGTGTCCGAAGCCCGGAATCTTGGGCTGAAGGTGATGAGGCAACTTCGAGCGATACCTCCGGAGGTCCTCCTGCCCGAGGGGGAAGACGAAGCGATGCAGAAGCGGGAGAAGGAAAGCCAGAGTTTTCCCAGATCCCGTCGTTGAGGTGAGCATCACATCACTACCCGAAAAGATGGCCGGCAAGGCCAAAGACTGCAGTCCTTGGCTGGTTTTTTTCCCTCTCGCATGCCAAGGTTGAGGGTTTAGGGTTGTGTTGTTGTTTGTTTGCCTCACGCCTGGCTCGGTTTAGGGTTTAGGGCCTTTTTTGACACTCACTCTCGGACGAGCCTGGCAAGGTTTAGGGTGTAGGATTGATGAGCTCATACGCCCCCCAAAGCTGCACAACTTCAGCCTAAACGGGAACACAGTAACCCCCCTTCCAAAAAACAAAACAAACAATACCCAAAAAGTTTACTCAGTCAGCGACTGCGAGTCTGTTCGGCGTCTTCACTCCGAAGTCCTGCAAGAGGTCCATGACGCTGAGGCTCTCCGGGCTGTCCATACCTACACAGAGCTACTGTAGGGGCCCAAAAGGAATCTACAAGGGGCTACTATATTACAAGGGCGATTATAAATTAGAAGGGAAACATATAAGGGCCTAGATAGTTACCTAATGCCATTTTGGGGTTCCTTCTTATTTGTATACGCAGAGTATATAGTCCCCAAAACCCTATTCTAAGCATTACAGGCCCCTACAATTCCCCTCCTTGCTATGCTCGCTCTACACAACCTGTGAGTTCGAACGTGTACTTTTTCCGATGCTGCGCTACCCGCTTACATTTAAGATGAGTGCGCTTACTTTTTGCTTCGGACACAAAAAAGCGTACTAACCCGTACCGGGCCCAAATGTCAACAAATATGTTGAAAATACGACCCGTACTCAACCCGTACCCGTACCCAACCCGAACTATGTCGACATTTTGGTGAAAAAAAGCCGTACTCAGATGTCGACATTTACCCGCACTCGCTTACTTTTTAGGCATGCCGTTTACTTTTCTTTCCGTACCGCAAAAATGTATACCGTTTCCCACGAATAGAAAAAAGTAGCCGGACGCACGCACTGGAAACTGTTATTGGGGTTGCCATAACGGTTGCCAGGATTGCTGCATGCGACTACCTTGAGAACTTAGTATGCTTACTACGCACTTATCATTGGAGAGACTACAAAGGTAGTTACGAGGGTTACTAGCTTGAACAGTTTGAAACAATAACCCGACACTCAGACTGGGACGTGCACGTCAGGCGTTGTATTAAAACCCACCCCACCTAGCTCCTCCCAGCTTTGATTCGCCGGGTCCAGCCAGCTTGTCTGCCCCTCCACGCGCTCCCATGGAAGTGGGCCGTAGTTCCGCATGACGGCCTTGTACATCTTGCGGTACACAGAGGAGCCAACCCTATCTTCCGATCCGGATTCCCGTTGTGGCAGCTTCCTTGTGGCAGCAGGATCTTTCTCCTTTGGGACCTTGGTGTTCAAAAGCCAGGAACTTAACCTCTTCGGACGTCTGGATGTCGTCTTGTTCAGGGCGTTTGCCACACACGGGGCCGTCTGAGTAGGAGGAGCCGGCTTCACCCGGGGCTTCCGCATGCGCTGCCTGAGAGGACGGCTCTTGAAAGGGTTGTACTCTGGATCCGGGTCCGAGTCACCCTCGGGTCGTTGCTCCCCTTCCGACCACCTTCCAGAACCTCCCTCCTCACGGTCCTCGCGCGGAACGCGTGATCCTTTCCTGAGCTTGCGCCGATCGTTCCGCTTGGCATCCAAGCCCCAGCGGAAGGAGGAGCGAGCCTCGAGCTCCTCCACAGAAAGCGTCTGGAGGACCTGACGCTGGTCGAACTCCATGGGATCCAGCCTTGGAAGATCGGCTCTCTGGAAGAAGCCCTCGCGCCGGAACTTCGGGTCAAGCGCCACCTGGCCCGGGGGCTTCCACCGAGCTCTGCCACGCGCGCCACGCGCGGCGCTGTCTCTTCCGCGGCTCCTCTCAGGTTGGGCTTGGGAGCTCAGGGAGCTCACAGTCAGCTCATCTGAAGTTAGCTCGTCTAGGTCGGTCTCGCCCACAACCTCCGCATCATACAAGCTGACACCATCCTCGTCAGGTAGTGCCGAAAGCCTCAGAGAGCCCACTAGGCGGCCACGGCTCTGCGGCGGCAGAGCTGTCACAAAGGCATTTCCCGCTTGGTGCCAGAGCACAGCACCGGACACCGCCACCAGAAGACAGACTCGCAGCGGTCGTGACTCGCGCCGCCGTGGCCGCCGCGAGCTCGAGGATGTGCTTCCCTCGTAGCCGCACGTGGTCATGGCAAATGATGGAAGTGCGGCTGACTTTTCAGGCATGGAAGCGACTATTGATGTTGACACTGAGCACAGGTAACCGTATGCAAACTGGAATACCTGCACATAAACTACTTGTTTTGCTGCCTGTCACATGTAGATCTGACCCGGACAAGCTCATTTAATTTAACGTGCATGCGAGCGGTGTTGGCTTCGAACGTGCATTGAAATTAAAACACATGCCTCTGCCTGAGCCATGGGAAACCCACACAACGTGGCCTCGAAGTACGATACACGCAAGTTCTTGCGCAGCCAGAAATGCTGCCCGGCCACCATTGCGCATCAGTGCCCTCAGCCGCAGATGCCTGAGTTACGAAGACAGAAGTGTGAAAGAACACCAAAAAAAGACTGGCTCGGGCCTCGCCGAGCAATAGGGACACACTGTGGGTGCTGGAGCTCCCAGATAGCTAAACCCAAAGCTTCAAAACCCAAACAAGAAAGCTCGAAACTCCAGTGCACCCCAAGTCCTGCATTCTACTCTCTGAGCCTCTATAAATCCTCCGACAAACATCTTCGGAAGAGGCGGAGCATCGATCTGTTCTTGCTTGTGGCATCCTTGCTTTTGCCAGCTTGCTTGCTTCTCGCTGGCATTGAGCAGGTATCCTTCCCTGATTGCTACCTTCTTAGCTGTCCTGCCTTTATACTTGCCACCTGCGTTCCCGACTTCCTGTGCTTGCCTCCTCTTTTCTTCCCTCTTGGCTTCCTTCCCTTCTTGGGCTTCCACATGCAAGCGTCTGTTTTTCTCGCACAAGCCCGGGCAAACCCACTGCAGAACTTCTACAACCTGAAAAGACCGAAGCAAATGCAAGCCAAAACCATCCCGATGCAAAAAAAAGAGGAACACAGGCCCGGCACCACCATGAAGCCCTCTCTCCCTCTCCCAGGTATTCGAAACGTCAAAACACCAAGCTCTCAACTGCCTCGCGATTGAATCCCTTCTAGCTGCCTTGTCTGCAAAGCAATCCAGGGACCCCCTAAAACGCATAAAGAGCCCTCAAACTCTGAACCCTTTTGTGCAGCAGAGCTTTGAGCTTCAGGGCTTTGCTTTCGGGGCTTTAAACCCTAAACCCTTAAGCCGCAAAACGCACTAAACCCTGCACCCAGGCCCTAAACTCAAGGATTTGAGGTGCAAAGTGTAGCCGGCTCTCGCGAGAGCCGCCGAGGCCGCTTCGGCAACCAAAGTCTCAGCGACCTTCTCAGAAGGGTTTTTTTTGACACTCACACTCGGACAAAGCCTGGCAAGGTCTATAGCGATTGTAGGTCAGAAGGGTTTAGGGTTTAAGGGGTTTGGGCTTATAGGGCCCTAGGTTCAGGTTTAAGGTTTAGGGTCCAGGGTTTAAGGTTTTGCAAAAACAAGTGATAGGTAATGTAAAGGTCAGTATACTTGGAGGTTCATGGTTACACTCATATGCAGGGTAGTAAGTAGGATGTCTATAGTTACAACCCAGATTGATGGACTTATAACCCTACTTATAACTACCCGTGAACCTGCAAGTACGTTGCTTCAAGGAGTTTTGGGGTCAGTGAGCCCAATACCCCTTAACTCAGGAATATGCCTCTTTATACCTTTATATATGCCATGAAATGGCGTCACCCGGCCCGCTATAACTCAAGGCATATTCGGGCTCTCACTGTTAAAGGGATATAGGACATTTTACGGCTGGGGGTGTTTAAGGCCTTTAAGGAGGATTAAGGGTGCTTTTTTAGGTCCATGGTGTAAGGCGTGTTTGCAACACTGCTGGGGACACATGGAATTGTCATCAACGCTAGACCAAAAAGCATGAACTCTCAATCTAGAGAGCCCCAGAAGAGACCCTAACTGTCGGGGGCGGGGCCGAGCCTTACTCCCCTAGTTATTCAGAAGAGACCAGAACCCCCACCCCCCCAACTCCCCTGGTCGGGCGCTGTACGCTCGTCGAAGCGAAACTCAGCAACATCTATAGGTCTAGGCCTTATGATAACAGGTCATAATGATAATGATAATGATGATGATGATAATGACAATCATATATAAAAAACAGAAATTATCATACTGACAATAGTGACAATAATGATTCGGTTCTAGCGCTGGGGCTTCGTTTGCTCGCCGGCATTAGCTCGCTCAGACCTCTTGGAGGGTGTAGTGTAGGCCCCTATATTGTAGTACCCTTATCGATCTCTTACAGTAACCCTTATAGACCCCTTTAAAGGAACCCCCGACAGGGTGTCGATGACTGTCGGGGCCCGTTTGCTTACATTTAACATAGGGCATAAGGGCCTGAATAATTAGAATAGGGTTTTAATCTCTGGTCCTGGTCACTCATCACCGTCATCATCATCATCATCATCATCACGATTCTCGCCAGTATTCCGATAAGCAGCTTGCCCACTCACTAGCTTCGCACAAGTTGCGTTTATGTAAACGTCTGCTCTTGCCTCCTATGAGCAGGCTCGATATTCTGCTTGGTGGAAAGGAGGCCACCACTGCCGTGCTTTCAGGTGAGTTCAATTCATGCTTGCTGTGCCTCTCTGCCAGGCGGTCTTCCGCCTTTGCCTCATCTATAGTATCATGGCTTGCTTGCCTTGATGATGGCGGTGGCAACGCTCGCATCTGCATGACGAGTATGCTGGCGACAATGATGAGCACGGTGACGTTGCTGCCGCATGCAGTTTCGCGGCCGCGATCTATAAAGCACTTGATTGCTCCCTCGCCTATCCACGTGAGTGTAAAGCCGCACTGCTGTAAAAAATCGGCCTGAATACATAAAATGGTGTTCTGGAATACATGGTAGAAACCTGGTGCAGATTCTGAAATCATGAAAATATACCAAAGAAACATGAGGAATCTTCAGCTGCGGGAGCCTGCAATGTTGAGTTCAACACCCCGTCCAGGTTCTCGTCGCCAGGAACCTCGTCGTGATGGCCTGAGGGGAGGTCGTAACCTAGCTACTTCTACTGCTACTGCTGCTACCGCCACCACCACGACGACGACTACTACTGCGACGGCGAATACTACTACCACTACCACCGCTTCTACTGCAATACTGTTTCCAAAAAAAAGTCTTCAGAAGTATTGGAATGAGTCTTCATAAGGACGCTGACAGCTACTGGTGCTACTGCTGATGTTGCTACCGTTGCTGCTCTGCTCACTGTTGTTCTCGTTGCTTCAGCAACTCCGCAGGTTGTGCTTCTGTTGTGGCACTTTTTCCCAGCAGAACTCAATCCAATTTTGTCCTACAGCTGTTGCCATTAGATACCATTGCTCGTCTCATGCTCTCCTGTGCTAGCTTTCTGGGCTCTTCTGTCAGCATCATCCAATCTGTACTTCGCCCCAGTGTGAATATGCTTGTTCTGTTTCTTTGGTGTCACCAGTACCGTTTGGGTGTTACGGTGCCACGATCACGCGTGTATGACTTTCTCCAGAAGAAAGCGCAAACAGTACACGCTGCACTGCACAATCGAATCTGCTCTGACAGCCCCAAAAAACCAGTTTTGCTTCAGACTGCCAAAGACAAACCAATTTCAAGACGGACGTGGTATGATCAGCAAAGCATGTCAATGTCGGGAACAGGTTGAAACGAGGTCCCTGACTCTCTAATTTAGGGCCTTTAGGGGTTCCATTTGGGAGTTTCTCAAAGTTGGGGGGTGCCTTATTTGAATTTGGGGGTCCTTTCAATAAGGATCCTACTATTTAGGGTACTAGATTAGGGTCCGATTAGGGTCTCCTATTTTCGGAAACTCCCTTTTGGGGTCCTGACTTTAACCATGAAGTACTTGTTGGGAGGGATCCAACATGAAACTGTATTTTGAAGAACCGCCCTTTTGCTGGGTTGTGCTCTAAACCCTTGAAAATTATTTATGAACAGGTTCCCCTTCTAAGGACATTTGGGAAATTAAAATTGTCCCAAAGCACAACCAGTTTGTTGCTTGCAGCCAAGTCGCTGAGAGCAGGTGAGCTCTCTTTGCCGTCGAGCAGTGGGACGCCGTCCTGCGCATGGTGTAGGCCGGGGACTACGGTTTAGGGTTTAGGGTTGACTTACCTTTGGTTAGTAGGGAATGGAGGAATCGGGTACAACTATAACTACTATTACTACCATTCTTCCATTCCCTACTAACCAACGGTAAGTTTAGGGTTGAGGGTTCATGAGTCAGCCAGCATCCCACCCTTTCCGGAGACCTGCCGTGTCTCACGATTGTGCTACACACCCGCTCCATCCCACTACTGGCAATGCCCTCCATTTCCTACTTGTCGAGTATCATGGGGAACTAAAGGTTAACCTTTGTGGTTATATAGGGATTATATAGGGACGATACTACCCAAAAAGGTTAAAGGTTACCTACTCGACTACTAGGATTTAAAGTAAGCCACCCCCTCAGCTTGCACCCAAGCGCCGAACCCCCCAACTGCTGGAACTAGCTTCTCCGACAACTTTGCGCCCCAAACCTAAAATGCGCTGAACTCAACACCCTTGGCGCTTTCCCAACACGCCACTCTATGGGTCTAGTGTATGTCTATAGATCTATATAGTCCGAACAGTGCTATTGCGTATCAAATCCTGAACGAAGATTCCCACATCAGCAGTCACTGGCATTTGCAAAAGATTTATCTACATCACGCTCATTACATCCCGAACCCCTTCCATCAGCCCCTAAACCTGCACAATAATGGAACTTCCCCCCTAGACCTCTGAACGGAACTCTGAATGCTAAGCTCCTCCGAAGATAATCTGAACACCCCTAAAGCCCTGAACGACGAAACGCCTGCCCCTAGAACCCTTGCAAAAACTCTTATAGGACAGTGATACGGAACCCCCCACAGAATACTGTTAGAAGTATATAGACCCTTACAGGAATTCCCATACCGCAGTGATAAGAACCCATCCCCCAAAATAGTACAAGAGCCCTTGTACCACAGTGATAATAGCCCCTAGAACCCGAGCATACCCTTTGGCTCCCTGGTGCTTAGGAGGGAATGGGGGAATGGATTCTTCTTGGGGATGATATAGGGACTACCATAGGGATCCTTTCCCCCATTCCCTACTAAGCACCAAACCCCTAAAAACCTTAAACCCTATGACAGATAGTCCCTAAAGGCCCTTAAGGGTTCCTTATTGTAGTCCCTATAACCCTAACCCCTAGAATCCCTAGAACCCCAGACTTTACCCTTTTTGAGAGGAGCAAGGCATCCGCTGCCTCGGTCTTGGAGATTCGATGCTTCTTGTACAAATCCTGGAGCAGACTTGGGTTTAGGGTTTGAAGCTTGGGGGTTTGAAGGGTAGGATTTAGAGTTTGGGGTTCAGGGGTTTAGGGGTTTAAGCTTTAAGGGTTTTTTTGACACTCACACTCGGACAAGCCTGGCAAGGGTTTCGGCGCTCACACTCGGACAATCCAGGCGAGGCAAGGGTTTAGGGGTTTAGGGTTCAGGGGGGGCCCGTAATAATTAGAATAATGCTTCGGGGTCCGTCATACTATAAGTATAACCCGGCAGACTTGAAGCTTGGGGCTTCGAAGGTTAGGGTTTAATATAAGACCCCGTCACCAATAATTAGAGTAGGGTTTTGGATCCCATCATACCATAATTACAAATCCAGGAGCAGATTCGAAGCTTGGGCTTGAAGGGTAAGGTTTTGCTAAGGGCCCCTTCATAATCAGAGTATATAAGGGGTTTGGGGGGCCCATCATACTAGAATGACAAGTCCTGGGGCTTGCAGCTTGGGCTCGAAGGCTGGGGTTTAGGATTTTGCACTCGCACTCGGAGGGTTTAGGGGTTTGAGGTTAAAGGTTTAGGGGTTTAGTACTAGGGCTGTGTGGTTTAGGAAGGGTTTGAGGCTTGGGCTATAGCGTACGCGGTTTCTTCCCATTAAGCAAATTCAGAGTCTTTAGAAACTTTAGATGTGCTTGGGCTTGAAGGTGGACCAAGGCCCGGAAAAGAGCACATAAGCAATATTTTTCGATAAAGAGTATCCCACATGCACTCCCGTATATATATATATATATATATATATATAGAAGCCCGATAAGGTAGAGATACCACTGCAAAATGCTTGTGCTTCCGTCCTGTTTGGGTCCCTAATGGATGGGTTTCACGGAGTAGATGACACAGGTTGCAGGGTTCTGGGGTTGAGGAGCACAGTGCAAAGATTGCATTCGGAAATGGAAAGGCATGTGTAAACTCAGCAGTTGGGCGGTGTTGGTCATGGAAGTTGCCAGTGCCAGTTGGGCACTCGAAGTAAACAAGAGTCGAAACAGTGTTATCATTGCGTTTCTCCGGCCTGTTCGAACCCATCTTCCCACGCCTCCCCAGCCTTTACACTACCCGCAAGACCAGTGCCTGCTTCATAGTAAGGACCCCTCCATCTTCACAGAGAACTTCGTGTACATTCCTCCCCACTACCGAGGCGAAGGGCTCCAGTTACCTAAATCATGGGGGGGACTGGGTTACAGAATATACGCTTCGAAACCTAGGTACCTGGAGGTTGAGGGAAATCCAGCGCGCCCCATCCATTCCAAACGCATTTGGACAGGCACGGGCTCTCGCGGAGACCAGCTTCGCTGTCACTACACTTTGGCACCGGATTCAACCAGCAACTGCCCAATCTCCGTGTGAGCGCTTTCACGCGCGTACATGAGAGCCGTCTTGCCGCAATGCTGCGATTTCATGTCAGCACGTGCTTCAACAAGCAACCGCACAGCCTCGATGTGACCAAGCTCAGATGCACTCATGAGAGCGGTCTTGAACCCCGTAATCGCATCCACGTTAGCACGGGCTTCCACAAGCAATTGCAAAACCTCCACGTGGCCAAACTCGGAAGCTATCACGAGGGCTGTTTTGTGTTTGGCAGCGGCATCCATGTCAGCACGGGCTTCCACGAGTATCTGCACCACCTCCACGTGGTTAAGCTCCGATGCCAGCATAAGAGCGGTTTTGCAGGGCCACTTTGCAGTTAAGTTTATGTTTGCACGAGCGCCCACAAGCAACTGAACAAGCGGAGCTTTGCCGCTTTCGGATGCAAGCATGAGAGCTGTGTTGTAGTCGTGAGACTCGGAAACATCATCACCAGAGCGGGCTTCAATGAGCAGCCGCATGAGCTCAATGTAGCTGTCGTCGGAATCGTTCACAACAGCAGTCCTGCAGGCAGCAGTCAGGTCCATGTGAGCGCGAGCTGCCAACAGCGAACGCACGTTCTCAATGTTGCCTTTGGAAAATTCCCACGTGAGCTCGTCTGCAACCTCTTGCTGGTTCCAAGGCCACAGCGACAGCTGCACGTCGCAGGGACCAGTCAACGCCATAGAACCACTCAACCTGCAGCTGTCCTTGAAAAGCTGTTGCTGGCACATCGGGAAGCCATAAAGCAAACGCAAGTGGCGCTTCAAACCTTCCCCAGTTCTCACGGCGGGGAATTCCTGCATGTCCACTTGGGCCACCTGTTCCCCCGACAACCTCCATACACGTATCATGTCGGCGCATTTCAGGATATCCCACTGCCTGCGTGAAGGTGAGCCAGAATGGGCTATCACAAGCAGCTACAGGGATTGCTGACATCGATGTACGATCATTCGCTCTGCGTCTGCATTAATAGCTTCATCTATGCCGTCTTGGGAAAGCGGGAGGCCACAGCATGGGTTCTGAGAGTGTCGATACATAGCTTTGCGGATGTTTGCCCCTCGACAAGCCTCAAGAGCTAAGAAAAAAGGCAGATGATGATGACGATGGTTATGACTCACCAATTCAGGCACCAGGTTCTATGGTCGGGCCATATAGCAATAAACGAGCTCATGGTTCACAAACGCAGCCGGGCTTTTGATAGCAGGAGCATTCCTGACAGATATTCAGAGTCAAAGGCTCGCTTATGGAAGCCGAGTCAGCGCGATTATTCTTAACCGGCCGCAAATTGTTACCAATCAAAAATAATTTCCGGACAGATGGGATGGCTGAAGATTATCAGATAATTAATAAGAGCTGTCACCCGAATATCATAAAACAGCGGCAGCGCAAAGATGCAAAGACACTAAAATCCGACATACAAGACATGAGAGACTACTCGGTTATTGGGCTTCTGCGTCTACTGCTCGAACCCGCCGTGGTTGTGACAATAAACTCACACAGAATGTGTAGTTTATGGAGCTCCTCTGTAGTATAATCAACAACGACCCGAAGATATCGGAAGGAGTTGGCTAGATATTCGTTCGCAGGGCAGAAACCTCGCCAGCTATTGCTATGCAACCCCCGGAGACAGCAAAACCTGGGCGTAGCTGCCCCTACGCCCTAAATTCTAAACCCGAAATCCCTTAACGCTATGCTGCCAAGAGTCTTTGAAGCTCGAGAAATCCAAGGTATTCACCCCGTGGGGAGCCACCTGAGTCGATCTCATGTCAAGATTGATACTAGATTTTACATGACAGATGTTGACTTGTTACTACATCTTGTATGTGTATACTTATATACATATACTTATATATCTATATATATATATATATATGTATTTAAAAACCTTGACTTCTAAATTCAATACTGCACACTGTCTATGTTATTCCATATGGGAGTTTCCGAAAATAGGGGACCCTAATATAGGACCCTAAAATAAGGGACCCCTAATTTTCGGAAACCCCCATATGGAGTTTCAGGCTTTAGGTCGTCCAAGGTGTTGGCTGGCCGAACATCTCCATGATCCTTAGAAGCTGTTATTGAAACGTCCGCTGCAAGGCCTCGGCAAACCCTGCCCACACCACATGAACCCGAAAGGTGCGAATATGCGATTGGATTTATACCTTAGGTGTTGATAACGTATCTCTTCTTCTTCCTTCTGCACTCAGATGTGTGATAATTACCTGCAGCGTTGCAGCTGGCCGGTACAGCATCAGGATTCAGCAAAGGCCCGCATCGCCCGGGCTTTCTGAAAGCGTACTGACGAGATCACATCGTGGTTACAGCAACAACATATTGCTACGGCCGGGACTAAGGCTCGAAGGGTTTGGATGTTTGGAGGGAAGCGCCGTATAAAGCCGTACATAAGGTAGAACAAATGTGTGTATGTGTGGGTAGATATGCACAGAGAGAATGTGTATTTCATATCATACGAACCGGGGATTATGCCGCGAGGTGTGGGTTCCCTGAGGCAGGGCCTGCTCCAAATCTTGCGTGGACTGTGCATGGAAGAGCATCGGCGGATCCTCACCAGGGCCATCATTGTAGAAACAACGACGTTTTTTCACACTAATAGTTATAACCACCATAAACATAAGCATAGCAATAATGACAATAACACTCATAACAGTAGATAAAAAATCGTAATTAATAACAAACATGAGACGGTCTTCGCTCTCCCACTTCCACCTACCGCTCGTCTTGTTCCCAAACATCTTTCGAGACATCCGATCCCACACTCGCCATGCTCCTTGCGCAACGACTGCCGTGCAGCAGTGAGGCCCGGAGTGAAGCCGGGCGAGCCTTCAGGAATTTGAGGGTTCGGGCTGCCTAGCAAGATCCCTACATTGCTATGGAGATCCTTCATGGTTAGCCGAGGTTTATGGTGCAGAAACGCTTCGATCAAGGGAACACGGCTTGCGATGATTGCATCATCACCGGCACATGCCTGTTTGTGGGGAGCCTACGTACCTACGGGGCAGAAGCGAACGGCTACTAGTAGAGCTGGTTCAATTTCAGTTGTGAGCCGGCTACTGCAGCTTGCGGGTTTTGGACCTCAGGTTTGTATAGTGGACATTGCGCGGCCTGGCACTTTTTAGCTATCTATTTAATCTTCAGCGCTCTTTTGCGGATCTCATGGGGATTTACAATATATCAGCGGCCCATGACACACGATCAAATGGACAATTCATACGTTGGAATACTCAAGCGGTGACGGGAATGCAACTATGCGGTTCAAAGAGCCCCACACCTCTACTGCACCACATTACACGGCTAGACGCCAAATCGCAAAACTGAGGTCGGAGTTGTAGCTCAGTCACACCATCACTTGCCAACATGTAAAATATTGAAGGCAACGATTCCCAACCCGAAAGCGGCGACTTGCACAGAACCTCATTTCGCACATGACGATCCATGTCGCCGGGTCACTTGCGGTCTGTCTTGGAAAAGCATTCTATAGCGAAGAGTTACACACCTACCTGCAGCTTACCCCTGATGAACTTCATTGGAGCTTCCGAAGACATGTATATATTCAGCATTGCATAACTCTACATGTTTGTCTCCGGGCCCGCTCGACCAGGGACGGCACTGCTTCGGGGTTCTGGACGCAAGGATCATTGAAGGGTTTGAGGTAGGGGTAGGGTAGTCCAGACTTCATTCAGAGTTTCATGCCTTAAACCTAGAAACCCTGCATAAACCCTAAACCCGTAAAAGGAACCCTAAGATAAACCCTCAAGCCGCATACTACCCTTATGGAGTCCTTAAAAGCAACCCTAAACAACCCCCCTTTTGCTGCAGGCTTGCACGCAAGGACGCGTGGCAGCTAGCCGCCTGAGCCCTTGAATGCAACCCTAAACCCTGAACCCTAAATTTGGTGCTTCCAAATGTGCCCGCGTGGAGACGAAAAGCATCGTCAGGGTTCAGGTTTAGGGCTTTAGGGTTTAGGGCTCAGGGCTTTTAGGTTTTAGGGTTTCGGGGTCAGGATTTGGGCGGTGTCCTCCGTCTTGCTGAACCTTGAACCCCAATCTTTGCCGGGCAATAAAGGCCTGCGAGGGAGCCTGGTTCATCGAAGGCGTCCGACACTTGCGAGGCCGTTTCGTCGGGTGCGGAGAGAGTCGTCTGTACCTCATCACCTTTGGCGGGTTCTGGTTTAAAGGTTTAGGGTTTACAGGGCTTAGGGAGCCTGTGTTGGGAAAGAAGAAGCCGGATAGGGCTTCAGCCTCACGAAGTAACATTGAGTTTGCTCGCCACTTTTGAATCACAAAGGCTGCTTCTTCGTGATGGAAAAGTAGGAGTGATAGAGAAGCACTTGCAAGTTCTGCGTGATGCAGGTGTGGTGACTTGGGGCCTTCACAAAAGCCACATTAGGGAACCTGGGCGAAGCATTGGGAAGCATCTGCAGAAACGAGACAAGTTCGAAAGCGGCTCAAGACACTCAGGTGTGCCTTGTCTTGATTGCACAGCCTTTAACAGTTACAAGGTTTGCTTACTTTAATCACGTGAAGGCATCGTGAAGCAAATGCCGAGCGTACCAGGGTCTCGAAAGTGCTTCCGGAAACAGAGGCCGTAATTACTCATCAGAACCTCCTAAGAATACCACCCATGAACTCAAAACTCGCGGACACTTGAAACAAAGAGTGGATCTCTGGAACAAGGCTTGGATGTGCGATAGAGTTGAGACGAACAACACTGAACCTTGCGTACGTGTGCCACTACTTGCAACGCACGGGTCTCTCTGAAGTGCCTCTAGGAGCATGATTTCATCTCTCTCTCTCTCTCTCTCTCTCTCTCTTTCTCTCTCTCTCTCTCTCTCTGACTTGCAACCTCTAAACCCTAAACCCTTTGTCAGACCGGGCTCTACACCCGAAGCACTAAACCTTACAAACCCCAAACCCTCAACTCCCATCACCACCGGCAAGGAGCCATCGGATGACGTGGTCTTCGGCTTTCCCTTGGTATCTGACGAACTCAGGAAACCGCCATTTACGCTCTCGCAACTCGGACACAGCCAGACGAGGTTCTTGGCTCGCAGCGTTTAGGGTTTGGGGGTTGAGGGACAACGAACATTACGTGAACGCACCTGCATACGTGCATGCGGGCAGAACCGCAAATGTCAATGCCTTGTCTCATGCACAAAGTACGAATTCACCCTGGCTGGCTTCGAGGGAAGGCTACTGTAGGACTTGCACAGCATCGAGCCCTGTTGTTTACCTTTGTTTACAATTGCGGACGGCTTCAGGCGATGACTCTGAGCCCTTTGCTGGTTTTTCCCTACTACTTTGTAAGGACGAGGCCCGTATTGCAGGGTTAGTTTGATTTAGGGTTGATGTCGCGGCAAACCTTCCTCGAAGCCCTTGCCAAAATGACCTACAGTCGAAGTAGCAGGCTTACTGACTGACTATGAGTACAACTTGGGGTAGCCCGGTCTTGGGGGAGGCCTGACCTTCTGACGCCGTAATCTCGGGAGGTCTTCCCTGGCACACACTACCTTGGAGCTCAGGGAAAGGCCACCGAAAAGTTGAACAGTTGAAAAAAACCCTAAACCCTTAACTCCTAAACCCTCGCTTGAAGACTCTAATACGGAATCGAACTCACATTGCTGCTTGGCTCACAAGGTCCTTTGATGCCCGGATCAGGGACGACTTCTTGTTCTCTTTCGGCCTCTAAGAAGACCGGAGAATTTGGAGCTGGAACCGGTGTGGTACCGTGGCCCTTAATAAGTAATTAGAATAGGGTTTGAGGGCCCATCATCCTTATCTCATAATAAGGAACCCCACGATAGTATAGGTATTTAGTACGGCCCCATCAGGCCCCCTGTAGTATGGGCTTTAAGCTCTTGTGGCTGATGGGAGCTTAGACTTCACAGGGTTGTTGATCACTGTCACGGCAACTTCGAGTGAGAGTTCAACCTGTCTTGCTCACATGTCAGATTTCGACAATCACGTCCGACACCGAAGTTACAGGCAAATGCCATCACTTTGCCCGGGTCCGTAGTGGCCTGAATACTTATCTAGTAATATCAAAACCCTGCGCAGTCCCCATAAAATCGTGCTGTCATGTGCGAATATATACACAAAAATCAAATAATGTACCCGTATCAATGCCCCCTCTATGGACAAAGTCACCCCAATCGAAGTTCAGGCGCGGCCCAACACCGAACTTAATGTTCGAATCTTTGGGCAACAGACTTCAGGTGGCTCTAATCTAGGTCCCTTTTGGGCAGGAAAGGAGGGATCATGTTTCGACGCTCACAAGGGGCTTTCAAAACATCAGACAGCCAAACCACGAAAACAAACAAAAGGATCACTAATCTTGGTCCCTTTTGGGCAGGACACAAGGAAGCATCATTTGATCTATTTCAAAATATCAAACAACAAAAAAAGGGTCCCTTTGCATTGACGAAGCATTTCTTGTAGGCGGATCCCTCGGCAAAAGGCTCGGCCTACTTGAGGAAGTGCGCTCCAGTCGGATGCCGAGGCTCAGCGCGATCCTGGCGTGGAGGGCTCCGGCTTGAAGTGCTCATAGCGGCTTAGTGTTTAGGGCAGTTTAAAATTTCAGATGTAGGGCTAAGGGTTAAGACTCACGGGGTGTGCAGGGCGCAAGATGCATGACTACCAGTTTCGGATTTATATAAGGCTTAGGGCTTCGTGCTTAGATACTAAGTTTTCATCGCAAAAGGTTTAGGGCTTCTGAGTCCGTACTGGCAATTGGGCCCGGTTCTCCCCTTGTCAATCTCACGATCGTGGTCGCCGCGCCGGCAGGTATGGTTCCCTATCCTCGAAGCAGTGCATGACAGTAACGGCGCTTTCCTACCACTGGCAATGTTGCCAACATCAAACCACCACTTTTACCTTGCCATCAAATTCGCATTGGTGCCACTACGGCCACGGCTAATCACTGTGCAACGACACCTGCTACAATGACACTACCGCTTTTTGTGAACGAATGCAGCAGCTGCAGCTGCTGCTGCTGCTGCTGCTGCAGCTCGTGCTCCTGCCGCTGCAACTGCCGCCGCCACCACCACGACCACCACCAGCACCAGCACCAGCACCGGCACCGCACCAGCACCAGCACCAGCAACAGCACCAGCGCGAGCGCCAGCGCCAGCACCACCGCCCCAATACCACCACCGCCGCCTACTACTCCTACTCCTACTCCTGCTCCTACTCCTACTCCTGCTCCTACTCCTATTCCTGCTCCTGCTCCTGCAACTGCTACTATACTCTACTATTGCGACTGCGGCTGCGACTGCTGCTTCTACGACTACTACGACTACGACAACGACGACGACGACGACTACTACTACTACTCAGGTTTTTCTAAGGGGTGCAAAACGGGCTTTGTAGCATGATGTTTTAGAACGCGGGGTTTGGGTGTTATACCATGGTATGTCTCAGCAGAGACTGTAGTAACATACGAAATAAATGATGTTCCTCGACTAGAGCCACCTTTTCCGCATCTATACAGTAATACAGGAGCAACCTATATTCATGGCAGACAGGAATTGAGAACTTGACTGCAGCGGAATCATCCTATCGCCCTACACTGCAGTCGCAGAATTTGCATCCACTTACGGCCAAAACCTAAAGCTGCGCTTGCTGCAGCCCTCACCAGCCCAGCTTAGGTGCTGACAGTTTAGGCATAGTCCGGTTTCACGTCTCACATCAACCGACAAGGGCCTTTGGATGTCCTTGTTCATCTGGTCCTGAGCTTCCGGATCGTCGAAATGCCGGAAAACGTGCGGTGCGAAGGGCCGTGACTATGATTCTACGAGACAGTTCAAGTGCTTGACTGACAAGCCAGGGGCACAAGCAGTAGCTATATTCGAACATCATGCGCGGAACAGCGGTGCCACAAATTCTCATGCGGTCGTCAGATAGACTCTCCAAGCAAAGGGAATTCGCTTTACAGTCCGCCCGGTCCTTCTGAACCTACAGAGGTATGCTGTGTGTAAGGAGGGGCGCTCTGGATGAGCTTTGTTCTGAATTTGGCTAACTTGCGCCGCCACGCATGTTCACAAATGCAATATGCACCCGAATAAAAAGAGATCAGATCTTCGCTTTGGGGTCACTGCCTGCGAAACGGACATTTGGTACACATGCGCGGCATGTAAGTCTGTTGCAATACTGAATGCTGACTATGCCCTAGACCCTACAAACCCTGAACGCCCTGGACCCTGCACCCCAAGAGATCTTCTCTATGTACTTCCCTAGAAGCCTAAACCCCTAGAGCCACAAGGGTAAAAGCGTCAGCCAATCGTAGCAGCGTCAAAACAAGGGCTGCTGCGAGTGGTATTTGACACCAGGAGCTTAGGAGCTGCCCCCACCCTGTAATAGTGACTATAAGGATTATATTAGGGCCCTATTATATTCCAATTATACCACTACTACAGGGTGGGGGCCCCCTTCTAACCAGGAGCTCTCAGAGGCTTTTCGGGGGTCTTATTTGGGGGGTGAAAAACGGTGCCTCTGTGCCGGGTCTATACTCGACGCGACCAATGACTAGGGCCCCTATGCTTTCTGGAAGCTATGCTTCAAGGTCAAGACAAGCTGCGAATCTCACCTCAGTGATCTTTTTCAGCCTCGTGGCAAGAATCCGGCCGTGACACTCACAAGGAGTGCGGGGGAGGCTACAAGGCTCTAAAACATGCGAGGAATGTCCGTCGTGAAGCTGTTGAACCCGCCACGTTCAGCCAAACCCAGACCCAGCCGGACCTGTAGCAGGAGGTTCGTGTGGGTAGTTATAAGTAAAGATATAAGCAGGGTTGCGCTAGCTGAAAACAAGGTTACAGGACTTCAAACCCCACTTAGAACTATCCACGAACCTTCAAGTAAAATTAGCTCCCGACCGTAAGGCAAAACACTCTAATCCCAGCAACTGCATGGGGGCGGGTGGGGTGCTTTGACGTGTTATCAGGAAGCACCACACATGGACCGACTTGAATCGAGAAACTGCTCTTGCTCGTGCAAGGATCGCATCAAGTTGTACTTGATGAAGCGAGGAGCGGTCCTAGGCCCGCCATGCACTAGTAGTGGTATAATGTAGGGGCCTTAATAATTAGAATAGGGTCTTGGGGTCCCTTATACTATCACCACAATTCAAAACAGTGTTGGTAATCATTTAGGCCTCTATATTACTGGGAACATAAGAAGACTTTATCTTGATTGCCACTATGCCTTGTGGTCACTAATAATGTCGGGGGGTGGCCTCACCTCATTTGGAACCTTGGAAGTATCAAGGCTCTGTACATACACACCCGGACTGCAGAAGGGATCCAAAACACACACTACTCTACTCCAGTCTCTGCACCCAGGCCCTGAGATCATGGAAGTTGGAATCGTCACAGAATCGAATTCGGGCCCACTCTTGTCCATGCTGCATGCTCCAAGCATAGCATGGGGTCTCTAGCTTAGGCCTTGGAGATTAAAACTTTGGGGCTTGGGATCGTTCGGGCTTTACGTACACCCCTCATGTACCTATTGTGAGACTTGAGGTCTTGGAGCCCTTTTCTCTAGGGCCTTCATAAGTTTAACAGGGTCTTGGTGTATGTGTCAATGTAGTTCTATGAAGGAAACCCAAGGAACCTAAGGAAGAATAGTGTACCACAATGTATAGTTGTAAGAAGGAGCCCTGAGGAATAATCATTGCAATCCTTCGGGCCTCTATTCCAACTCCCAAGCTATTGAACTTGGTAAAGGGATGTTTGTTTCCAGCTTTTACTCAAGCCCACCCATCCAGTGTTGAGCAGAACCCCCTAGAGAGCCCCCTAGCACCCCAAACTCTACTATTAAGATATTGCAACTACCTGTCCGAGCCTCTGAAGTTCATCAAACCTCGAAAGACGTCGAAATGGGAGTTTCCGAAAATTTGGGGTACCTTAATTTGGGGCCTTCTAATAAGGATTCTACTATCTAGGTGCCAGATTAGGGTCCCCCATCTTCGGAAACTCTCAAATCCTGGAACACCGTCCACCCTAAACCCTATGCCGCCTGAGGCCCTGGCTAGAAGTCTTAACCCTGAAACCTTGCTTGGATCCTCGAGCCTGCTACAAACTAGAAGCCACTGCTCAAAAAGTAGAGGTCCCATAGGCAAACTGGAATATCAACCCCTGTGCCCTATGTGTAGATACATACATAAGCATGAAGTCTATTATATATATATATACACATAATAGATGAAAACACACATCCATACATACATATATATATATACACACATATACAACGTTATAATGTTATATATATATATATATATATATATATATATATATATTATACATATATATATATATATATGGCTCAGGATAAGTGAGCCAGCGAATCCAAGAAGGATTAGAGCATCGAAAGCGCAAACTTCTCGCCGTGGCGCTTGGACTCGTGTACCCACCGGCTAAGCGGTTGGATGAACTCGTCGCGCTCCACGGTGCCCGAGTCTGAGATAACAAAATGAAGGTAAGCACTGCCGCTTTACATATCAAAAACCCTGATATAGTAATAGAAATATTATATCATACATATGTATATATATATACACACTGCTGTATATCTATCTATCTATATGTGTGGATATGGTTCAGCTCTTCGGGGCTGTACAACATGTGACCAGACCCAACACGATGGCAAAAGGCAATACGCCAAGTCAGGCCGATCCCTCGTTCAATGTAAATGCCAGAGACTCCAATATCCCTTAATCAGGGAATATACCTTAAATTATAGTCGGATCCCTAATCTGATTTAAAGAATATTCCCTAGTTAAGGGGTATTGGAGTCTCTGGGATGCCACAAATACGCACACTGCGTACATTGCGTTCTACTTCAATCATCACGAGACTTAGTGGGTGATAGACGTTGAAATTTTGCTCATAGCGAGATTTCCCCCAAAATACAAGGGTAGTTACAACCCGTTACAACCATACTTGCACTTTCCGAGCACCATGAACCTTCAGGTAGGGTTACGTTCGACCTGCTTGGCGGGACTTGATCCCCGCGCATGAAGCTTGGGAAAGTGTTGCACCTGCCTTGATCGTGTTTGAAAAAGAGACGACCCTAAATGGGGATAAGGGTGCTGAACCCCAGCAATGCAGAGACCTTCGGAACCCGACCGCAGCATAGGATTTCGCGTTCAGGGTAGACTACTGTCCGGTGCTGTCGCGAGGCCGTCGGTGTCGATCATCTGAAAGAGCTGCTGCAAGTCAGCCTCACGGTGGGATTCCCATCATAAACCTTGACAGTAGCCCCCCCCAAAGCCCTAAATCGAGGGCTTTCGGATGGAAAATCTTAAAGCGAGATTCCAAATAAAAAATCCCCACCACCCTCCAGACCGGAAACCCCAATAGATATCATAACGATCCCTATCGCGGTACTCTTAAAGGCACCCTCCTAATGACCCCATCACCGTACCCTTTCAAGGGACCTGACAAGGAGCCCTTGCTTAGTACCCTTTGAAAGGACGCGCTTAATGCAGGGGGCTAAATAACTAGAAGAGGGTTTGGTAGGTTCCTTTTATATTGTAGTTAAAATAAAATAATATACCCCGAACCCTATTCTAATTCTAAAGCCCCGTATACTAAACCCTTGAAATAGCCCTCTCAGTAATCCTTATAGTCCCCTTTGAAAGGAAAAGGGAATGCTATTCTAATTCTTAAGGCCCCTACATTACGCCCGCGCGTACCGGCCTCATCGATGTCCATGACGCGGAGGCGGCTCTGGAACTCAGTATCCTGAGCGTTGGCAGGAGGGGCAAAGATGATACACTGTAGAGATCCCTCAAAGGAACCCTGTAGAGATCGCTTAAAGGAACCCTATAGAGATCCGGGGCCCTTACCCTAAACTCTTCACCCCGATATCCCGGAACTCGACAAGGTTTAGGGTTCAGGGTACTACAGTCGCATGAGGGTTTTAAAGTTTTGGGTCGCGGCATATGGCATGTTCTCTGTCTAGCACTATGGAAGCTGTAGCCACAGGTGCAGCTGTTTCTCTCGGGGTTTTGGGCTTCAGGGTTCAAGGTTCGGGGTACATGTTCTGGGTTGATGGCCCTTTCCTGGAAAAACTTTAGTGCCTTTATGCTCGCAATTGAACAGTTGGGGCTTTCAAGGTTCAGGGAAATCATTCGGGGTAAAGGCTCAAGGATTTGATCGAACTTCAGGTGCATAGGATAAGACTGGACAAGAGACTGAAAAGGTTCAACCACCGAAAATCCTGAACCCAAACCCAGACGCACTCGCACCTCAAAAAATCTAACGTTGTCCCTAACCCCCCCCCACGGTTCACACTGTCATAGCCATGATATTCGTCTGAAGTTGAACCTTCACCTAAAATCCAAAAACCAAACCCTAAAAACACGCCAAAAAACCGTATGTAGACACTTGTCCATCTACGAACCCTGACCACTAAAAACTAAATCGGCGAGATGATGCCTTATATCATAAAGAATACAAGTATACGTCTGCTGTCTGCTCCGAGCCCTAATCCTTTAAGACCCAAAACGCCTTTCCCGAAACACCTGGTTCAAACAAAACCTCTGGGGCAGTGGCTTTCCTGGCTCCTTCAATTAGCTCGCTGAGAGTGAGCTCCCCACCTGATCATCGTCAGTTTCAGGGGTTTAGGGTTTCGGAGGTCTACTAGTTGGCTGGAAGCTTTGCAGTGAAAGTGGGGCGGATGATCGTTAAAAGTTCTAGGTTCGCGTTGTGTGTGTGCTCTTGTGTTCCAGGGTTTTGGGCTAGTCATTTTTGCATATGGGGGTTGGGGAGATTTGATCCAGTTATCACCGGATTAAACGTTTTGGGGTTGCTCGGACTCTCCAGGGAAGTCATGCGCGATTTTGAACGAATAATTCAATAAAGGTTGCCGTATGGTGCCAGTCGGAGTCACCTCCTCGTGGATAGTCTTTAAAAATTTCGATGTGACCGGAAGAAACATGATTCACACAAGGAGGGAGCACGAAACCACGTGACTTCGAAGTCTCGTGGGTGCGATCCAGCACACTTCAGCAGAGGTGCACGGGAATCTTGCTGGAAAAGCAGAAACGCGCGGGGGCAAGTGGTAGCAGGGGGGGCCGGTGGAGATTGGGATACCGGTGTTGGGGGGGGCTGAAGGCTGTGAAACAAACTCCTTGCCCAATTAGCAGCTGCGGCCACAGGGTTTGCATTCCGGTTTCTGTTTCTTAGTCTAGGATCTGGGGCTGAGCAATGGTTCATCAATCCCCAACAACCTATGAGGTTCAAGCTGGAACCCACTACGAGATCACTGGCCTCATACCTACAGACTGCCTACAGAGATTCAGTTCGGGCCCAAGACGTAGCTCGTAGCTATCCAGGAGATGCGGTCATTGAAGCAAATAGCTAGCTGGCTTTCTTGGCATTTCATATGGTAGTATCCCTCTGTGTTCTTGTTTCCCCCCCTCAGCCCTAAACTCTTTTAAACCAGGCAGTACATTCTAAGCCGCAAACCCTCAAGCTTTACAGCACAAGGCACTTCCGTCTTCATCCACACGATCGAAGATCTTCCTAGGCACCATGGATTCATCCACGGAATACCCCAAGGCTCCATTGTAGTTCCTTTGTGGGGGTTTCCTTTTTCAATCCTATACGGTAATCCCAAAAAAGGAACTACTATGGAGCCTCTTTACTACCTTATAGGAATGAAATATGAGCCCCCAAAAGGAACTGCTATGGAGCCTCTGGGCAGTAGGCTAGCCCAAACCTGCAGTGTTGCCAAGTCATCTTTGCAGTCGGTTGTGATCTGTTCTGAACTTTGGATCAGTTTGTATTGAACATATATATATATATATGCATTTATTGATTTTTGTATATATGTATATACTACAAATTAAATATAATTGGTTGGGCGTAGTGCATCTGGATATTCATTACAGACTATATACAACACATACGCACATATATATATATATATATATATATATATATGTATATGTATATGTATATGTATATGTATGTAGGTGCATATCTATATTATACATATACATCTGTATATACATCTACACCTCTCTCTCTCTCTCTATATATATATATACACACATACAATACACATTACAGGATACATACTTGAAGGTCATACATCACGGAAAGAGACATTATGTGTAATGTATGATATGCTATACTGCTATATGCTGTATGGCATTATTCTAAGCTCCCTTGCCAGATGGTAGCTTCTTGCTAGGGGACGTCCCTCGAAGCCGCATCTGTTAAAGGGGTTAAAGCATTAGGACTGCAAGACTTAGTCCTTGCACTCTTTCCTTACACATTGTCAGTTCATAGGCACTGTTGTGTGCAGCTTACTGCAATCGATTCTGTGAATGTGCTTCAGGTCTGCAGTAGAAGGCCCGTTCCCTCTCATCTGCTCTTGTAGAGGGCGGGCGGTCATAATAAGAACTCCAAACTGACACACAGATTCTGTAGGAACTTCTTGTCCATTTCGATGTCGGTTTCCATCTCCTGCGGCGCTGGTCTGAGGAGGACTGCAGCTCGCCCGTGCAGAACAGCAAGCACAGCACTGGCCAACTGCAGCAGTAGCGACCACAAGAACGAAGTATTATCCATGGCAGATACAACAAGCCGCAGAAGGGCAGCCCCTAGTCACTGCAGGGTCAAAACTTGGACATGTACAGCCGTCCTCGGCCAGGTTTAGGACATCCTTCTCGCGTGCTTCAGCAAAGGTGTCTACCTTGGTGTGGTCATTTCTGATGCTTCGAGAAGCCTTTTCGACTCTCACACTCCGCATCGGCAATCGCCAGGCTTGGATTCCCCGTCAGACGGATACAGGAACTGATGCTTCTGAAACATCCGCATGACTGTATGGCTTTATGTGCTTCGCATCAAAACATGGTCGAGAGGCCAAGGAACCTCGACCCAGACTCTTAAACCCTAGAACCCGGCCGGTTGCTGTAAACATTTAGGGCTAAACATTTAGGGCTCTACGTACTGCAAACCTTTCAACCGCGAGAGTTCAGGGTGTGCTGAAGCACATCGGCTCCCGTCATCAGCAAGGCCGGAAAGGAGATGAAAGCGGCTTAAGGTTTTACCTATAGTCTCCGTTGTAGTTCCTTGTTTTGGTAAACCCATTTTATACTTAGGACCCTGGAACATAAACTCGGTAAACCAGAAAAGGGACTACAACGGAGACGCTACGTAGGATCAGCACTACCCCGGGGTTGCTTTTCTAGGCATCAAATCCAAGTTGCCACTACAGCGACGATCAGGTTAAGCACCTCAGCGGGAAGCTTCAGAAGAGAAGGCTTTGCACCGCTTCAGACTGAATCACCTGTGCTACTCTAATATTCCTTTGTTGGTGTTAGGTCTCGGGGGGGGGGGGGTGGGAGCGGGCAGAAGATGCTTCCCGTCCACCATGAGCTGGTGTAGGGACTGTGATATGAATCATGAGAAGACGGCACTCAATACTGACTAGGAAGCAGAACAAGACTACTGGACATCGCAGTAAAAGGACCCTACTTGGAATACTTGAACAGGAACTATAGAGCCCTCCGGTACCTCGAAGCATATCGTTATGGTAGCCCTTAGAGACCTCTTTAAAGGAACCCTATTCTAATTATTAAGGCCCCTTTGTCATAGTACCCTTAGAGTCTTGTAGTACCTCGAAGCGCGAAGAAAGACAGAGCCGAGGGGCTCCAAAAACCAGCGTGAGCAAGGAGCCTACAAAGATGATCGCCGTCGCGGGATAGGCCTCAACCCCAAACCCTGAACCGCTGAAACAAACCCTAAAGTAACCTCATTATCGTATCCTTGCAAGGACCCCATTACAAGACCCCTCGGAGGTTTTCTGAGCTTGGCTTTTGAGTTTGGGGTTTGGGGCCTTTTTAAGTACACTCTAGCAACTCTGGCGAGCCAGACAAGAACTTTTCGGTGCGACTTCGTAGGATGTACGACTGTCGGGTTTGGGGGTTTCGGGTTCGGCGCTTTTGGTCTTTGGGTGTTGAGGCTTAGTCTACTTGTCGGGGTATCATGGGGATCTGAAGGCTAACGTTTTTGGTTATATAGGGGTTATATAGGGACTATACTACCCAAAAAAGGTTAAAGGTTGCCTACTCACTTCTAGGTTAGCGCTTTTGCAGCCGGGCAGCTCTTTGGTTTCTGCTTTGGGGGAGTTTAGGCTGAATGCTGAAGGCTTTCAGGGAGCTCTACTTGGAGGTTCATGGGTAGTTACAAGTGAGGCTTTATAAAGTCCTCTAATATGGGTTATAACTGTAGCTATCCTACATCTAACCCCACCTTTAACTAACCATGAACCTGCGCCCAGAGCTTCCAGCTCGACAAGTCGGGTTTATGCGGCTTCAGGAGAGTTTGGACCCGTGTGGGCTTTTGTTCTGTGAACTTTAGGACTCAAACCTACTAAACCTCGAAACGGAGAGACGATCATACGTTGCGATGTAGAACACAAACTCCCCAAGCACTTGGATCGGACTGGCGCCCTCCGCAAAGCAAACAAAAAACTGCAATTTCTGCGCAAGAGTTTCGGCAGGGATTACTGAACCCTGAAACCTGAGCCAAAACAAACCGGCCTCAATAGTTAGATTCTGTAGGCCTCCATATCAAACCCTAAACCCTTAATCCCTAAACTCTTAGCGGAGAGGGCAGTCACATGCCTCGATCACCGGCACTGCGATTCTGCCCCAGCTGTCACCGGCGATCACGGTCCTTGCTTTTGTCTAAGCAGGCTCTGAGGACGGAGCTATCGGATTCATCTCTGCCGTAGGTTTGATAGCTTAAGGTTTAGGGCTTAAGGTTTCAAGACTGTTGTTTAGTGCTTTGTGCTCACTCACTGTTTTTATGTTCAGGGTCTCACACTCGGACAATCCAGGCGAGGCGTATGGTTCGGGGTTTAAGGTTTCCACATTTCCGCTTCAAAATGCCGGAGAGACGCTTTTCAGCCGCTTTTCGCGACCCTCGACCTTTCAATTTCAGCCCGACACCTTCGGAACACCAGCTCTTCCTAAACCAACATGCCAGGTAGGGTTTTGTGAGTTTTCGCTCGAGCACTTTGCCACTTGGTGACTGCGGGTTTGATTTCAGGGCCGAGGCTTCATGTAGACCCCTGATGAAGGGGTCTACAGAACATCTTCCAGGGTTTCGAGCTAGTGAGGCCTACCGTTGTACGGCACTTGTGCGCATTGCGAGTATGGATTCGGGATCAGGGTGGCGCAACAGAAAAAGCCCTTGAACCCTATCAGCTCAAGTAGCACGACAAGCCCCGCGACAAGCCCAAACCCTACCCCCTAATATAGGGGCGCCAATAACTAGAATAGGGTTTTGCGGCCCCACTATACTATACTTATAATGAGGAACCCCCAAAATAGTATAGGTACCCTATCCATCGGCCGACAGAAAAAAACGGATTCGATTGGTAGTTTCAAGCGGATTGGGTCCGATTGATATTTTCAAGCGGATCCACTAGTTTTCTGTGAAAACCAAGCGAAACAAAAACCTAGCGGGGAACCAATAGCAGCATATAGCAAAAACCAAGCGGAGCATTCAGGAGCACGGGTGTTTGACCGGGCTTGAAGCCTGCGATTTCTGGTTTCACAGGTTTTCACAGATCTTCACAGGTTTTCACAGATCTTCACAGGTTTTCACAGATCTTCACAGAATTTCACAGATCTTCACAGAATTTCACAGATCTTCACAGACTAATCTGTGAAGATCTGTGAAATTCTGTGAAAACCTGTGAAATTCTGTGAAAACCTGTGAAGACCTGTGTGCTTCAGAATTCCGGGTTGGGCTCGATGTTTTTGGTGTGCTGGGCACGGGAAACCAAGCGAAATCGTTGATGAAAAACCTTGCGGAATCGATGATAAAAACCTAGCGGAGAACCTAGCGGAGAAAATAGCATCCCAACCGATTCCTAGCGGGTCCGATAGAAAATGCCAAGCGCACATGGTATTTTCAAGCGCAGCAGAATCGATTGGTATTTTCAAGCGAAATCCAGTGTTTTTTCAAGCGTGCGATGGTTAGGGTAATTATTATTACCCCTGAACCCTTAAGCCCTGAAGCCTCAACCCTGGAACATCCCACCGGCGTTCGAATGCAAGGCTCTTGAAAAGCAGCAAGTTCGCATCCATCACCTGAATCGGTGATTTCAGGGGCATGGACAAATGGAATAGGGCTTTGGGGCGTATTGCTGTCATTATTTCTGGTATTATTAATTGGTACTGTTATACTTGTTGTTGTTCTTGATGTTGCTTTTGATCTTGTTATTGATATTTTCTTGCTGTTGATAGTGTTGTTGTTGTTGTTGTTGCTGCTGGTGTTGCTGTTGTGGTTCGTATTCTTATTATGGTTAGTATGATCTTACTATTATGTTAGTATTTTGCTATTATTGCATTAATGCATTTTTTCATCTTGTAGTGTTGTTATGATTGCGATTAGCCTTAGCATTAGCATTCTGAGGTAGCTATAAAACAGACTCCTGAGGAAACTAGGGTACTTGGGTTCCGCTTGTAGGTACCTGTACGCCTGGCTTTGGGGGTGACTAAAGAGTTCTTAAACGGTTCCCGTTGCGGTTCCTGTTGCAGTTGGGCCCCGAGCTTTGAGCCTGATCTTCGGAGTGCAGGGGATTTGCGATGTAAGGTTCTTGGGGTTTAGAAAGTCCATTGTGCGGACCAAGTTTAGGGGTGAAGTCAATCACGGAGTCTTTCGCAGGCATCTTGGCATTGCCAAGCTCGGATAGTTCAGATAGGATGCTTGCCCCGAATTCTCTGGCAAAGCTACTCCCCTTTACGATGTTTCAATATGTTTCGATGAATTGGTCCCATCCTACAGGGTAAGAAAAGAGGCATCTATTATCAAACGCTGCTACGTAGTGTCTTTGTTCGCGAAGGGGTTGGGCCCGACTCTGGAACAGGATTCAGTTCGGTCAGGACCAGGCAAGCCTGGATCGGCGGCAGGCGATCCGTACATCTGATGAGCGAGGTAGTTAAAGGGCAACAACATGCCACGTGACCGATACACGGGGACCCGCCTCTGAACCCGTACTATAGGGGCCTCAATCAGTAGAATAAGGGTTTGGGGCATTTTATACTATAGTTCTAATTAATCATAAGGATCCCATGAAACAGTATAGGTAATTATTAAGGCCCCTATATTAAACCGTAACCCATCCTTGGGTTCTCAAGCCACAAGCTGTCAAAGGCGATTGCAGGTACCCACGTCAGTCTGCCCTGCGATTAGCAACCGGGGTGTTTTGGAGATTCTTAGAATTCCCCTCGGTGCCATGGCAAGGGAACGGCGACCATTTAGCCATATCAACGACGCAACTCTCAAAGGGAAACCTCACGTTAAGCACATAGATGCACAAAGTCGCGGGTCAGCAGACTCTTACGTAATTGTTGCTTACATCTTGTGTGCGTCTGAAAGGTTGCCGCCAAAGCAACGCACCATCCTCTGGTGCATGACTTCAAATGTTGCACGTGCTGGTCCGTGCGAACAGGTTCCTTCGGCAGATCTTATGACAAATGAACACATCCCGCAACCCAAAACACATTCCAAAATCTCAACTCTTCTGCAGAAGTTCGCCCGTTCAGAAACATGGCTCTAAGTTCCAGTGAGCTCGATACCCTTCGTGAGCCCAGAACCCGAAATCTGAGGAGGCTCTCAGCTCTCTACGCCGACGTCTCTGCAGGCTCCAGCGTCACGATCTTCGGTGTGGCGTTATTCGCACTTGTGTCCAGGAAGTAGCAGCGGATGAACTCCAAGACGACGAGATTCACCGTCCAGCAAAGCCACGCGATGGCACCGTAAACAGGCTGGAATTCCGTGAGTATCGCAACAGGAAGCATGATGCGCAGAGACACCGCTGAGTATGCCAGGGCACAGCTGATTTGCATGGCCCGTTCATGGACCGGTACAGATCGAATCTTGGGGAATGCAATCGCAGCAAAGCCAATCATATTGCTCAGCGTCCATGCTACCGAGAGGCACATAAAGCCCACTTGCCCAACGACGCCTCCCTGGGCTTTCATGGCCACAATCCCGCCTGTGACAGAGCCCATCGTGCCGCACAGAAAGTACACACGGCCGGCCCAGCGATGTGCAAACATATGCGTTCGGCGAAAAGATGGGATCACCTGGAATGGACCAATTGCCAAGGCGGTTGCCGAGGTCAATGCATGGAGGTAGATCGACGCCTTCTCTGTTACGAAGGCAGCTTCCATGTCCGGATGGACCGCGCGACCCAAAGGGATCAGCCATTCTGTGAGAGCCCCGTAGACGGCCCAGGAGTAAAGTGCGATGAGCACGGCGCCCCCCACGAAGAAACCGTTCACCGCACGATATGCCATGAGCCCTTTCGAAAAGCGGGTTGCAGGAACGCAGGCAAAAAAAAAATAGACCTGCAGATTGCTCCAACGGAAACTCCGATCCGTCGAACACTGCAACAAGTAACCAAAAATGAGAGCTCGTAAATGAAAACCATAAAACCAAACCTGAAATTTCTCAAACACGACTGCACCTGTGACATCCTCTGACCCAAAACCCCCCGCCCCAACTCCGAAAGCCTAGATCCCGAACCTCCAAAATCAAGGGTCCTGCACTGCTGGCAAAGTTGTCTGCAACAGGCCTAGGCGGGCTAGCACCTGAACTCCAACGGTCAAAGCTTCCCTTACTCCAAGACCCCTCAAGCCTCTACTCCGGGACCCTAAACTTCCAAGCCTGGAGCCCATCCTACATAAATCTGCTCCTATCTACATACCCTCTCACCAACACTAAACCTCGAAGCCTAGACATCTGAGCTTGAAGTCCCAAGAACGCCTACCCCAAGGCCCCCAAGGTAGTTCCTTTTTGGGCTTCATAAATAGAATTCATTCAGGTAGTCCCAAAAAGGAACTACTATGGGGCCTATGGGTAAACCCTGAGAGGTGAAGATTTAGAAGCCCTGCCAGCCCGTAGAACTCTCTCCCCACAGAGCAGCACGAAACCCAATGGCCCAAACCCCAAAAATCAAAACACCCCTGCAGACACGAGAGCACAGTGGCCTAGACACGGAGGTCCCTGCCCCAAAAAACCCAAAAGAAGTAGACCCTTTTTGATGTTCAACCATGCTAGGCCCGCTAGGAAGAACCGGATCAACTCCAGGCCCTTAAACACCAAAAAGACAAACATGACATTAGTTAAAGCTCTAAGAATGAGGCCTCAGTATTTCTTCCGAAGGAAGAGTATCTCCCGAAGCCCACTAAGCCCTAAATCGTACCACCCCAAAACCCCCAACCTCTCAAGCCCACAGGTGCCTTTACGCTCGAGAAACCCGTACCGCAAGAGCGGTATGATAGGAATATCGTAATCGTAAGACCTTCCTATTGTAAGTAGCATCATCCCATAGTGTCACTACGAGTGGCTGGGGGGGCCATAACTCATAGAAAAAGCTTTGGAATGCATCCAAACAATAAAAAACCCAAGCCCCAGACCCTGAACCCTAAACCCCTAAACCCTAAACCCCTAAACCCCTAACCCCTTAAACCCCTAAACCCCTAAACCCTAAACCCGAAAGCCATGAGTTTAAAACCCCAAATTCCCAAAACCCTGAGCTCGAACAACAAAAACACACGAGGACCCGGCCGACGCGGCTGCTCGGAGACATTGCCTGGGATCAAGGAGCGCATGTCAGTATGATAGGGCTCTAGGGTTTATAGGGTTTACCGTATAGGGCTTTAAGGTTTAAGGTTTGGGGTGTTTTAGGGTTTCGGGCTCAGGGTAATTTACCATAATAGGGGTTGATAGCAAGGAACTGTTACCGCAATGGGGAGTTCACAGCCCATCATGGGGACTCTGTGTTGTAACACGGATGGTTTATTGAACTGGATATGGTTTCCTTATTATGGCACCCTTACATTGAGCTTCCCCCTCAACCCTAAGCCCCCAAAAAAAAAGCCTAAACCCTACACCCTGCGCTTACATTTCGACTCCGAAAGAAGAGTCCAGTTGCTCGCAGTCGCCAAACTCTCCGGCTTTCCCGAGCTCGGTGATGAGCCTCGGGTGCTATGAGATGTAGGCAGGAGGGCCAGGGTTTAGGGTTTATAGGGGGTGTAGGGGTTTAGCAAGGCTTCAGGGCCAGGGCAGACGCCGGATCTGAGGACATCAGTAATACAGTGGGACCTGGGAGATGCTTCGGGGGCGGGGTAAGCACAGACAGGGTTGCCGAACCGCACCGACCGAAGTGCCTACCTGGCAAGGCATTGGACAATCCTTGCTAATCATATCTCTAGCTATTTGGGTCCAAGGGAGCAGCTGCAGGCATACCATGACGGCACATGCAGTCATCATCACAAAGCGGTGACATCTCCGAAACGGGACCGTGAACCCTAAACCCTAAACCATAAATAAAGCCGCGGCCGTGTCACGGCTGCACCAGGTCCACCATGAGCATAGCCCAAATGGTCCTTGGCAGATCGTCACGCAAATATTCCTGGGAGGACAGGTGCAGGAAACCGACCCCAGAAAGAAGAAGCAGGCCCAAGCAGACCTAGACCTAGACCTACCCATAGAGCCCATAGTAAAGTAGTTCCTTTTTGGGGTTCATATGTAGAATCCTATAAGGTAATCCCAAAAAGGAACTACTACGGGGTCTATGGGTAGGCCTTGTTTTGCAGATTGGGGCACAGGGAACCCTGCTGCGAACCAGGAGCTGGAACCCAATCCTGGAAGAGAGATTCCCAAACCGCGAACGCTACCCTCGCCCTGAACTCCACACCCCAAAACCAGGGTAGGGCACATTACCATGAAGCAGAAGATGAACGACCAGCACAATGTTCGCATACAGGAGGTAGCCATGGATAGCAGCTTCCGAAGCCTGGAGCAATCGGCTTTGCTGTCGAGGCATGAAGAGTTTCTGGCGCCTTGGTGTCTCTGTGTGTGTGTGTCGGTATGTAGGTATGCCCAGACCTTACACCATATTTGGGAATCCTTATTTGAGTAACATCCGCAACCCTAGATCAATTTAAGTCCTGGACCCTATTGCTGTACAACCACCAGCTTCTAAACCTAAAGCACAATTTTAACCCCAAATCTACTGTTAGGCACAATTTAAACCCCAGCCCTAAGCCCAAGAAAAAACCCAAACCCCCTAAATCACAACTTAACTCCTAGACCGTCTCTAAACCCTAAACCCTATAAGTGGAAGCCGGGGGCTTTCGTAACCCAGGGACCGTGCTCCACCCAAGTCTAGATAATCTAGGGGCCGGCCCCCGGGGGCCTCAAAAAATAATTTTAACAGGGTTTGGAGGGGGTACAGTATATAGTGTAACTATGATAAGGAGCCCTGGGGAGTTATTGAGATTTGTGATCACTTAGGCTTCTATGCTGGAACAGTGCCCATGACTTGTAAGACCAGCTTTGCACCATATGCTGGCAGATCTTTCGGGTCTAAAATCTCTCAGATTTCACAAACGTTTCTTGTGCATCTCGCATACTGAAAAAAAGCACAGCCGCAGGGGTACAGGGTGCATGCTCGCAAAACCCATCTCTGCAGAGCTTGCAGGACAAATCTGAAAATGCGAGGGTTTTAAGCCGTCATGGGGCTTGTAAGACTACTTTAGCTTCCGGGTTGTAAGATGTAGCGCTTGTAAGATTACTTTAAGTTCCTACTTTAGGTTCCGGGATATAGGATGTAGGGCTTCTTTGGGAACTCGCGGTGACTTCCGCTCCAAGCCGCTCCAAGCCTGGAACCCCCTTGGCCTGAATCCTTCCGAGCCACTCCTTCAGGTAGCTGAAGCGTCGGAAGAGCTTCAGCAAACCTTCCCAGAGAGCCCAATACCCCTTAATTAAGGAACATAGCTTAAATCATATTAATTAAGGAGTATTGGGCTCTCTGGGTTCTCGCCACATGGGAGTGGGGTTTCCGAAAATGAAGGGTACCTTATTGCGGGGTCCTTGTAATAAGGATTCTGCTATTTAGGGTACTATATAAGGGTTCCCTATTTTCGGAAACTCCCACATGTTCAAGGACCGGCGAAACGAAGCCAGAATTGGTCACAACACTGGGGTTTAGGCTTTAGGGTTTGGGGGTTCCTACTTTGTCGTGAGCGCGCATCGTCTGCACCTATCTCCACTTCAACCCTCAACCCAAACGCTCCAGGGAAGTGGCCTCCTTTAAGGGACCCGACACCTCCCGTAAAGCCTATCTATTTTAAAGAGCACCTCACCGGCTCCGGGGTCCAAAACTATGTATGTATGTACACATTGACTATATACATATATATATATATATATCTCCAAACAGACATATATACACACATGTATATATATATATATATATGTATATATATATATATATATATATATATATATATATCATCATCATTATCAAATATGCTACTGTTTTTCATCGTATAACATACAGTGAAAAACAACCATGTACAAGGCGACGTGGGGATTCACTTGTACCCGGAGCCTATCTTGTTCGGGCCCCTTATGATGCTTTCCATGTACAAGTCCTTAACAAGGGTAGTGTAGGAACCTCAGTAAGAGACCTTGGGCCTTTATTAGGGTTCTTTGTATGAATCGTACTATTTTGGGGGTTATAGGCCCAGGGTTTCTTAATAAGGTTCCCACATTATTATAGTACCCTTATAGGCCCCTTTGAAGAGACCCTGAACAAAATCAGGTTCCTACATTGGGTTAGTAAGGTTCCAGGCATTTCTCAACTCTGAGCAGAGCGTCGGGCAATGCGAGCGATGCGCATTACGCGGAGCAGGCTGAAGTTCTCAACCTGGGCGACTCAGGGTTCAGGGTTCCCAGAGAGCCCAATACCCCTTAATTAAGGAATATAATTACCTTCAACTATAAGGGGGTTCAAATTATGATTTAAGCTATATTCCTGAATTAAGGGATATTGGGCTCTCCGGGTTTAGCAAGGGAATTCTACAAGGGTTATTTGGGTTGAGGAGTTTCGGCGCGCACACTCGGACAAGCCGTGCGAGGCTTAAGGGGTTTAGGGGCTAGGGTTTAAGGTGTTTACAAAGCTCTATCAAGATTTCAATTTGGCTTCGAGGGTCCGCGCTGTATGTAGGTCTTGGTTAACAATTAAATGGATTAGGTTGTTCAGGGTTTTGGTTGCTTCAAGGTACTGTCAAAGGCGCTGCAAGGTCTACGAAAGGTTTCCTCATCAGGCTTTTGGCTTTATGTAGAGGGCTCATAGTCGTAAGCGCTATAGGGCTATAGCGGAGGCCTTATGGTAAGGTGGTGCAGGGCTAGAAGATTGAAAGGATGTTCCAAAAAGACACTTCGCACTCCTGTTCCTTGCAACCGAGGGTGCGAAGACATTGCCGCTGGCCTCCGACATCAAGACCTCTGCCTGCTTGCTTAGGATTTTGGGCAGTTTCGGGTTTATAACGATTTCGGTGAGTGTGTGTATAGGGCTCCTGAGCATTTTTTGTGAGTGTACATGTCGCGCTAATCGTGGAAACCCGAAGTCAAGGCCAACTCTGCTTTTGGGGGCTTCCAAATATGGAGGGTCCGTTCCGTGAGGTCTCCATACACTGAGCTAATGTCTGTGAAGTTCCCTTACTGTCTGAAGCCGCATGTTAAGATTCAACCCCGGCGAACCCAAGAGCATCGCCGAGCCCACAGTGGCAAAGAAATACGCGCCACTGCTAGGTGAAGCAGAACGAAGCGAGCCACGATAACCTGGAAGACCCCAAGGAACACAAATCAGTCGACACGTATCCATCCGAACCGCAAAACATCAACAGCCAACGTCAATAGTTCAATAAACAACGATGAAAAGCCAGTCAGCACCATAACCAGCCAGAATCAGCCAGAACGGGGAGTACAGAGTACACGTAACAACAGTAAGACAATAATTCACCTTGAGTTGCTCAGTGGCTCAGCATGCAAGAACGGTAAATCCAACCGCCGCCGTCGTAAGAAGAAGGTTCACGAGTTTGATGATCGCATTTATCGCTTGCCACAATGCCTCAAAACACACACACACACACACACACACACACACACACACACACCCACACACAGCAGCAGCAACTAAAGGCAATGAAAGGAAAACAAAGCCAGCCACGAGAGAACAAACTCCTTCGATAGATCGGTGATTCCGATGTGGCTTGCGAGAACCACAAAGTCCCAAGTTCTCGAACGACGTGGGCTTCACTGAACCTAAGACCGAACCCAACACCCTACAACCCTGCAGCCCTAGAACCCTAGACTCCAATATCAAGCACAGTTCTTCCAGGTCTGGAGCAAGGTGCGAGGCCGCAAACGATGATGAAGAGGTCGATCCTGATCAGGATTAGGGTTCTCTCCTGGAGGGCGGGGGAGGCGGGTGATTTAGGGCTTTACGGCTTGTAAGGTTTAGAGTTTGGAGGGTTTGAGGAGCTTAAAGCTCACCCGGCTTATGACAACTTCTCGGACCGGATGAGCTTCAGCCTGCACGACCTCTATGCAATGGATCAGGGAACTTACTGGGAGTTTCCGAAAATAGGGGACCCTAATATAGTACCCTAAGTAGTAGGATCCTTATTATAAGGACCCCCAAGTAAGGTACCCCCTATTTTCGGAAACTCCCTACTAAACATGGATCGAACTACACTAACTAACTAGGGCTACAACCGATCGTAAACCTGATTACTAAGTCGCCGAATGTTGCAAGTACCTGGGACATACTCAGGAGTCCATGATTCCCAAAAGGCTCTCAGGCCCTGCATTGCCCGAGTCGACTTGATGTGAGACCTTCAGTGGACTCCTCCGGTGGTAGTCTCCCAGAACATGGAATTCGTTTTCCCCATGTGCATGGCAGGAGTTCTTGTTCCCCAAGACGTCACGAAGCCGACTCAATAAAGAAGTGAAAAACCTTTAGCCTCTGCAGCAAAGAGACACTAACATTCCGTCCCGCAGAACTTTCAGCCGTTTCACGTAGCACCACAGCGCATACTCCACTCCGTACCTTAGCATGCTCAGAGAGCCCAATACCCCTCAATGAAGGAATACAGCTTAAATCATAATATGAACCCCTTATAGTTTAAGGTATATTCCGTAATTGAGGGGAATAGAAGCTTAAATCATAATATGACCCCGTAAAATACTTTAAGGTATCTTCCTTAATTGAGGGGTATTGGGCTCTCTGGGTGAGACTGTTCGGAGCGGAGAGTCGGCAGTCCGTGTTGGAGACGTGGTCTGGGATACTGGGTTCAGGGTTTGGGTTTAGGGTTTAGGGTTTGGGTTTAGGGTTTAGGGGGTTCTATGTAAACTCTCTATCCAAAGGGGGCAGTAGATGTCCTGTCGGCCCTGAATCCAAGACCAATGACCAATGGCATTCCTAACTCTTGAAACTATAAACCCTCCCTCCCCATCACCTCAAAATCGACCGCGATGTTTTTCTCTCCGCTCGGGCGGTGCTCAGAGAATCCGACGGCGCTTCGAAGTCGCGGGGCGGGGCCATCTAGCCTCCTCCTTCAAGCGGTGCTGGGAAGAGATCAAGGTGGGGAGAGTCGAGGGTCTGCGGGTATGGGCTGTTGCTGCGATGTGGTACTGTCATATAGGGGCCTTAATAATTAATTAGAACAGGGTTTTGGGGTATATCATGCTGTAATTATAATGAAAAACCGAAATAGTATAGGTAACTGTGAAGACCCCTACAGTAGTGGTCTGAGTTGCAGAATATCACATGAGATCGCGGAATGGCTTGCTGTGTAAGGCTAGACAGCGGTTTGTTTGACGGCGGCGTTCAAAGCTGCGACGGCTTCAGAAGCCCTAACAAGAAGACTTCAGGCACTGAAGAAGCAATACACACCGGCGGTAAGTGCAGGGAACTCCAACATGCAATATTCTCTCGCGGCTATAGTATGAAATCGGCGCAAAACAGGAAGGTCGACATAATAAGCCGAACCATCAACCATGAAACGTCTGTTGTCTTCTTCCGTAAAAACCAAGCATCGTATAGGGGGCAATGTACGACATTATATACCAACATATACATACAGTTATTATATACATACATATATATATATATACACGTACACATACATAAACATATACATATGTATGTGTATATATAGTATAGTGTTTAATTATTATATATATATATATATATATATATATATATATATAAGCTGATAGCTACTTCTCCGCAGCCTCTTCTTCTTCGCCATCCTCTTCTGGGTCCACCTCCGCTCCCTCCTCCTCTTCGCCTTCCTGGAGGGATTTCGATGCTCACACTCGGGCAATCCCGGCGAGGCATGGTTCAAGGGTTGAGAGATTTAGGGTTTCAGCACTCACTCTCGGACAAACCTCGGCGAGGATTCCCATAGGCTATGGGGCTTCAGGGAGTCGGCGGAGCGGGTTTGGCACATCCTCACAAGAGGAGGCCTAGCGTTTCGGGTTTCGGCGCTCACACTCGGACAATCCAGGCGAGGCATGTGGTTTGGAGTCTGACGAGTGAAACGAAACGCACGGTCGAACACAATGCAAGGATGTACCAGTGGTCCGTGATCCAGGCAGACTTGTCCATCCGACACTCCCCTTGAAAGACTTTCAAAGGCAGCTGCAATGCTGCCCGCCTGTCTAGCCGACCATTCGGCGCAGGCTCTGGGCCGAGAACACTTCTGCAACTGCTAACTGCTCACTCAAATTCGGCACCCATCGCAAGCAGGCAGATTCGCCTTTCTGCAGTCAGCGCCACTTGCAATTCTACGAACAGGGACAGGCTTGATCTTCCGCAGTTTGTGCGAATACTGCTGAAGAATACTTCTCTTAGACTCTTTTGGCTCTAATGCAGCTACTGGCTCTTGCCGGCGCAGGAAGACTCTTTGCATGTCCGGGCTGCTGCAGGGAAATTGTCTCTATAAGGCTCAATAGGGATATGGCGAAACATTGATTACATGGTTTCCCCATCTGCGCAAGGCCAGCCCCAAGTTCTTGCATTGAAGCTCATGAGAAGGTTTGGTCTCGTCGTCGATGCTAATCTCCACATCTTCGCATCGTTCGCCCATCACATAGATGTTCCAAGGGTTCCACCGCTTCCAGCTGCCCTGGGCAATGCGCATCCGGACCGTTTTCACCCGCCGCCAGTGCTCCCCCTCTTTGAACTTGAAGGTCATCATGCCTTCTAGGGCGAAATTCAATTCAAGCATCTTGCCGTCCTCCTGGAGGCTCAGGAAGGAGTTGTTTTTGCCCCACATACCCGCATGGAAATCTGTGACAACCATATCGGATAAGTGTCTACCACAAAGAACCTTTACCCTGTTGGGTTTGTCACCCTCGTCGTCGATGACACAGCGCTCTTCTATTGGTTGGCCCGGAGTGATGCTCCAGCAAGTTGGATTGAAGGTGACCCCGTGCAAGGTTGCACCATGGTACCCGACAAAGTCCAGGTGGTTGTCTCGCACTGCGACTGAGACCTTCTCTGACACGTTCCACCTTTGCACTTTCTTGTCCTTGTCTGGGATGCAAAGTCCGTTCGTGGTGTGCTGAATGATTCCACTGGTGGACTTGCGAGTGGACAGAAAGGACTCACAGTCATCCTCCGCAGCTTCTGGAACAGCCAGGAGAACCATCAGGGCCCATGCGTACTTTAACGCGGATGGGCAAGGCATTTTTGCCTGCAAATCGAGGTGACCCGCTTGTAAACCTTGAGCCTTGAGCCAAAATGGCTTGAGCCAAATTGGGATTCAGGGCAACCGTTCCGAAAACTACCCCCCTAAGGCACCAGTTGCCAAAACAATGGGCTACTGGGCTATATTTCGCATGCTTAGTAAGCCACTGTTTAGGTAACTGGAGGCCTAGGGTACACATGAAGGGGCGCGAGACCATCAGAAAATCGCCTCCAGCAGCCCGTTCTCTCCACAGAAGTGTTTGCGTCTGCGTTGGATCTCCTTGAGGGCCTGCACACATCAAAGAGGGGCCTTAATGATTAGAATCGGGTTTCGGGGCCCATTATACTATCATTATACTTAATAAGGAACCCCAAGATAGTATAGGTAATTATTAAGGCCCCTGGATGCCCCTAGATTATTTGGTTGAAGCTTCCGACTGGGCCGGGAAGGAGTCGCGCTTTCTCTTCGCTTCTAGGTGGAGCCGATTCATAAACCCTAAACCATCCTAAACCCTATATACTCTAAACCCGAAACCTTCTTTTGAGCGCGGACTCGAGCTGTAAACCCGAAACCTTAAAACCTAAACCCTAAAAGGTACACGGGGCCGACTTTATTGAAGCAAAATTGAGAGTTGGGCAACCAACAGCCGGCTACAGTTTCTTCGGTTCTGTGCTCCCTGGTACGAATGTATGGGCTTTAATAATTAGAATGGGTTCTTTTGACAAAAGGGAACCATTTAAGGGTTCCTTTAGACGATCTGCCTACGGGCCTTAATAACTAAATGGGGTTTGGGGGTACGTTTACTAAAGTTGTGTTAAGGAAAGCCCCCAAAACCCCTGTTCTAACGATAAAGGCGCTTACATTATATACTACTAGTCCTCCTCCTCCTCCTCCTCCTCCTCCTGCTACTGCTGCTTACCACCGCCGCCACCACCGCTACCATTACGACTACTCCTGCAATAGCCATGGCCACGACAGCAATATTCACCTCGAATTGACACTCACACAATCAGAGCGTCAAGACCAAACCACGTGTAATAAGACATGAAGGAGTGATTATCGCCGACATGAGGCCGAGTAGAAATTTCATACCTTGCACCCCCGGAAGTGCCTCGGAGATGATTTCCAGCTGTCCCGCCCGGTACACGGCAGCATGCCGCTCGGGGGAAGAGGTAGCAGACAGCTCCGGTGCTCGGATTCGGCTCCTCATCTCGCTCGACTCGAGGGCTTCGGAACTAGAAGCAGGAAGCCCCGAACCTGCAAAGCCCCAAACCCGTAAAACCCTACAAAATATGTGTATATATAAATATATATACAATAAAAAATAATACTAATAATCATAATAACAATAATCTTAATATAGCAATAATAACAATACTAACAAGAACAAAAATGAAATAATAAGACTTGTTCTCAGTATTCTCATGTTGATGTCTATGCCTGTGCACGGTAGCAGGATGCAGGTGGAGAGGGTCTTTAGTTTGCAAGCAGAGGCGGTCGTGGAGTTATCGTTTGCAGCAAGGAACTTGATGCAAGAGAAGTCCGCAACATCATGCTGATCTTACGTTCCAGTTCTGAGTGCGCAGCTGCGACAATGGTTCACAATAAAGCGGAGGTAAGTCAGTGATGAAGACAGTCGCTTGTCGTGCTATTCCTTCAAGTTATCCTCCTGGCAAACCCTTGTTTAACCCCTATTTACTTGAGCCCGCACCCCGAAACGGACAATTTCCACGGATACGTCGGCGGTTTAGGGTTTCGGCGCTCACACTCGGACAAACCAGGCGAGGCATATGAGTTCGAGTCTGCAAAGTGAAACGACACTAAGAGGCTTCGTCACTACGTTTCAGCAACAAAGGCTATCAACACATAAAGTAACTGTACCTGTCTGCGAAACCTCTCCTTGGAATCCAAGTTGAAGCATCAGGGACATTCGGACTCCAAGGCAGTATACTCGGCAGATCGCTCAGGGTCACGGGTATAGGGATCAGACCCTACAATATTCAGTAGTGATATGCGACAGGGAAGAGCCGGGTTGACTCAGGCACTGCGATCTGTTGTGGGGATCAAATACTTGACGATCCCCAAAAGTCAGCTTGTTACCGACGTTACGAGCATCTAATTCTGACACTATCGATGACAAAGGTGAAACTGTTGGAGTATGTGGAGCAACCTACATATGGTTTGACTATTTGCCCGACTCGACTAGAGAAATTTCACCCCGTAGCCACAGGACGAGATAACTACATTGCAGTATGATGACCCGATGCTTGACTTGAAACAAATTCTGGCATGCACCCCTCAGTGTATGAATTAGCTCATTGGATGGTGTCTGGACATGATTGAGCACAACGCGTACATCGCACTCAATCATATCCAGTCACCTCATGGCAGACGACGTCACATGTTCCAGCTCGTTCACATATCTGCCAGAGCAGCCGAAAACGGCGCTAATGGCAAAAGCATGCAGAGTTGGGGCCGCAGGTTGTTATGAATTCATACTTCATCTTCAAGAGCCCTTCATGCAATCTCTTACAGTCATATAATGTAGGCCAACTGACCGTCCTCCTCGATTTTGTCTAGTCAGCCATGTCTTCCCCATGTTGTGCTTGCCATCATGCAATAAATTCCTGGAGGGATGGCCTCCAAATATGTATGGCAAAGCGTTCCTCATGCAGTTATCCATAGGGGAAGTCGCCGTCAGTGACTTGGGCAGGCATCGGCCACATCGCTGAGATCCCTGCCTCATGCAAACAAATTCCAGAAAACCAGCAGGGTTGTTCTCACAGCGAGAGGTCATAGTAAGCTCTTTGGTCAGCCGTCTTTCTGCCCATATTATACACCCAGCGTGCAGACTCACATGTCAGGCTCTTTGTCATTTGGCAGCTGAGGCCATGCAGACATGTAAACGTTTGGCAGCGGAGGCCATGCAGATGCAGCTGTAAATTCCATGCAATCCATCACAGGCAGTTATCATGCAGCTCATACATCTTCTAGCATGTCCAGTCCACTTGACAGTGCCATGTTGCCGGCGCGGGGCGCGGGTTAGTGGTTTCTTAGGGTATACTGGCCGAGTAAATCAGGGACCTATGTGGAGTATGCTCAATACGGAGATAACACTAGATTACCCATAGACGACCAGAGCAAAGGGTATAAAACATGCTGAAGTAAGGGGTATGTAGGGATAGGGGCATAGTGGGGTGATACAACACAAAGTGCAGTATGGAAGGAAAGTCATAATAGTAGGCAAGCCCCAAAGATACCAAAGGCAAACCCCACACAAGGGTTTAGGGGTTTAGGGTTTAGGGGTTTAGGGTTTAGGGTTTCAGTAGCAGGCCCGGTGGTGCTTTCGAACATGCGTGGTCTCACTCGCACTTTTCTGGTTTAATGCGCTTGCTGTCACGACACACAAGTTGACTCATGGCTTTCCCCAAAAGAGCGGTCTCATGCACAAAACCTAACATGCCTTCACAGTTCCAGAATCCCTGAACCATGAACCCGCGAGAACCAGAAAAGCATTCGGGCCCCAAAATCCACGCCTCAACAGCCCGAAATAAACCCTTTACCCAATTCTTCGCAACCTGTGCGAAAGGCCCGACATTCCGAGACTAGGGGGACCCTAATATAGTACCCTATATAGTAGGATCCATATTATCAGGACCCCAAACTAAGGTGCCCCTAATTTTCGGAAAACTCCCACACTACAGAACTCCTCATAATAGCAAGCTTCAGACCAGTCTCTTCTGGCTCAGGAGCTGCCCCTCCAGTGTGGACAGCACCTTTCCAGACAGGGTTGAGTACAGTTTAGGATTTAGGGGTTTAGGGGTTTAAGGTTGGGTCTTAGGGTTCAAGGTTTAGGATTTAGGGTTGAGTGAGGGTTTAGGGAAAGTGTTTAGGGCCGGGTTCTAGGGTTTCGGGCATAGGGGTTTACCGTGAAAGGAAGCTCCTAAACCCTAAATCCGGCTTGGAGGGTGGGGGGGGACTTAGTAACTATAAGGGGTTCCTTTAAAGGGCCCCTTTAAAGGGATCTATAGGGATTCTATAAGGGTTTAGGGTTTAGGGGGACTTAGTAACTGGTTATTTTAAGGACTTCTAAGTACCATAACCCCAATTAGGGCCCCTTTTAGGGTACTTATAAGTCTACTTACTACCTACTTACTAAGTCCCCCGACCCTCCAAGGGCCGGAACTTCTCTTCTCGGAGAGCGTTTCGGGATGTGGATTTGGGATTTTGGGGGCTAAGGGCTTGGGATGGTTCGGTTCGTCTCCGAGCCCTAAACCCTAAACGGCGGTCCCCTGAACCCTATAAGCCCCGCAATCCTTGCACCTGCCAGAACTATGAAGGCTTTATCTGGGCTTTGGAGAACCATACTTTGATACTTCTTCGGTACCTGTTACTTAACGGGAACCAATTATGAAATAAGAGTCTAAAACTCCTTGTGGCTTCCCATGACTGTAAGGATCGATAGACACATCTCATTGCCCTCACAGTCTCAAATTATCGCCAGCTAAACCTATTATAGTAATCCTTGTAGTAATCCGTATAGACCCCTACGCCGACGGCATATTTGAGGTTCCTTATTCCAGTCTTACGGACTCTAAATTACATTTTGGCATGCCAACTAACTAAGGAATACTTCTTATCCCTCAAGCACGGGGGTATTGGATGTACCGTCTGGGGCTATGATTTCAGAAGATGTGGGTCACACTACTGCTCCCATGCTTGGGGACATGTCGTGAATACGGTCCCTCCTGTTCTGAAACCCCATAAGTTGCATCGAGACGGGGTTTCGATGTTCGGCGGTTGCGGGCGAAAGGACAAACTTGCATCAGCGAACTCACAAACACTGTCAAGACGGTGCCCAGAGACTCCAATATCCCTGAATTAAGGAATATTCCTTAAATCATATTAGGGATCCTACTATATATAATCTAATGAATATTCCTTGATTAAGGGATATCGGAATCTCTGGGTAAGCCCTTGGCCCCTCTGGCTTCTACGAACGAAACGAAATCACCTCGCCGACAGGTGCGCTGCTTGCTAGCTGTCCGTGGAGATGTCGACACCCTGAAGTCTATGTACGTAGGCATGAACCCGAACGTCAAGAAATGGTGCGGGTAAAGTGAGACATGCAAAGTGACTCCTGCGCCCCTCTTTCCCTCCTAGAAACCCCACGTCATAGGGACTCTTAGGGGGGCAGGGGGGAGGCTATACTCCTTAAATTGGCCTTATTAATGTCCTCATTATTTTTCCCTCTCGCATGGCTGGCATCAATGTCCACAGGCGAGGATTCATGGGAGATAGGCGCTTGCATTTACCTCCATTCCGGTAGGCTTTCATTAACTGTTTCATTTTAAATGAACAGGGTGAGGTCAATGTCCTTATTATTGGTATGAAGGCCCGCCTACCCCCCTCCCCCAAACCCCCTAAGGGTCCTTATCACCAATCTTCAAGACGGCAACAAAGCCATCCCGCCTGCATCTCGCACATCTCGCAGTCTTCAATGGGCACGGGACACTCGATCTTCTGAAGCAAGGAAGCTCCTTCCTTCACATACTTCTCCAAGCAGTCCTGGCTCATACCTGATCATGTTCAGGAAAGAGTGTGAGCCAACAGCCAAGAAGCAGTTTTCCAAAACACTTGTATACCTGTCAAAGGTCAAAGGGATCGCAAGCGCCCCGGCATTCTGTTCTCGCCCGCGACCCACGTGCCACTTCATAGGGTGTTCCTATGCTTCCTTGAAGTGTTTCTACTGGGTTTCTGCTGCGCACACCCACATGCCCGAAGAAGCCTTGCCCAAAGAGCCCTGAGGGAGTGCTACCCTGAGGGTTTACGGTCTTAGTTTGGGGCTCAAGGTTTGGGGTTGCCGGAAAGAAAAACCGGAAGCCAGACATGAACGAAATTATGGTAAGCTGGGCTAGCTTGATGGAGGAATCCCCCTCCCCCCTCCACGCCTGTGTCTGCTGACGAACCATGCCACATAGAAAATCCAACTCTTCAGCGATTTAGCCTACACCTGAAACCCCGAACTCTAAACTTAAACCCTGAACCAATACACGCCCTAGACTAAGCCTCATAAAGCCTACAAGAAAGCTGAAACCGTTTACTCGTCAAGAGCAGATGGCACAAGATCCGGAGGAGTACGAGCAGCTTCGCCGGGAGCAGATCGGAGACGGAGAGCTCATGGACTTCAGCTGCGTTGATGCCTGAGACGGGGCTCCTTGAAAGGAAGCCCTGAAGGAGGGCCTTAGAGGAACCCTTATGCATGGAACCCGATGGGCTCTGTAAAGGTTACTATAAGTGTTCTAGAACCACGGTTTAGGCTTCAAGGTTAGGGTTTAGGATTCTTCAACATGGTTATAGTAGTAGCTGTGTTGGGGCCTGAAACAGGGTTCCTTTCAGGGCTCTTTCATGCTTACTATAAGGTTCTATGATCTAGAAGCCTTAATGATTAAAATAGGGTTTTGGGGATTTGTGCACTTCCACAACTGGTAGTAGATAGCATTCCTTAAGATTTCTTAGTGTGCGTATGCTTCAATGCGATGCACACCAAACCTTATTCTGTACTTACTGAGGCTCCGAATTGAATTTGCTTCGAGAGGGCCCTTTGGGCTTTTAGGAAGGTTCCTACCTACAAGGGTTCACATAAAAAAAAGAGTTTCCGAAAATAGGGGACCCCAGTATAGTACCCTAAATAGTAGCAGTAGAGTCCTTATTATAAGGACCCCCAAAATAAGGTACCTCAAATTGTCGGAAACTCCTATATAAAACCTGAGGATTCCTTTCAGGGCTTGCGTTGAGGCCTGACCCAAAGGACCCGAAACGGTACCTTGAACCATGGTTTAGGATTCCTCTTATAGCTGAAGGTATTTTCCTTCTCTCGAGGCTTTGGGGCTCTTTTGGGAGCAGAACTCTTGGAGAGATTTCATGGCTCTGGGGTTCCAGAGCTGCATGGCTTCAGGGTTTTGGGGCTGCAGGGTTTTGGGGAATGTAGGGCTCTAGGCTTCTGGGATCAAGGCCTGGTGGTGATGAAGTAGGGTTTACGGATGGCTTTACTTGTGCTACAGCTTCCAGGAACTCGAAAGCACCCTCTCTTATAACTGCGCTGCCCATCAAAACCGCCTTCTCAAAGACCTTTGAAGTTCTGTGCTCCAGCATAAACAGTTTACGCTCTCACAGCCTGGCCAGGCGACGACGCAGTTTAGGATTTACCTATAGTCAGTAGTCGTTCTTGTTTCGGAATACATTATAGGATCCAAGTATAGAACACTGGCTTAAACCAAAAAACAGGAACTACAATGGAGACTCCAGATACCCTTATAGTAGCCCTTATTATAGACCCCTTTAAAGGAACGTTATTCTAGTTATTCAGGCCCCTACAGGTAGTGCATTCCATGCAAAGCTGGCCTGCGAGCTCCAAAGCTTTGCGCTGCAACTCGGGTCTTGTGGAGTCGTCGGAGCGAATTTTCACCTGAACAACTTCTCGATGCTTTTTTTGAAGTGCGCTACATGGGTTTACAGGGGCTTATGGTTTAAGGAGCCGTGTTAGCAGTGGTTGTCATGCACTGTGTGATACATGTGGCCAAGACGATGTTTCGGGACAATCCTTGAAGGCCCAGAATGCACCGACGCGACCAAGTGTCAGGTTCAGCATTAACACAATGTCTCTTGCTATTGCTGGTGGCGCTGTTCTTTGCTTCCGCACAATAATCCATGACTTTCCAAGGCACGGGCAGCGTGTCGGACCTGTTCCTCGGCACGGCAAAACCATGTGCCAGGAGCAGCTGCAAGTTCGTCCGGCATGAACCATAGTTGTTGAAGAACTCGCATCCTCAACTCCGCATGCTCGAATTCTCACGTCTGGGGGGCTAGCATCAAAGAAGAAACACTCAACCTCCAGTCACCACATGGTACGAAGCCTCTTGTCATTTTCGAGTCGGCCACTTGCCTCATGCGAAAAGAAGGCTGTGCACGGATCCCCTAACGTTGCAGCTCGGTATTCATCTCTTCATCGTACCACATCCCCGGCCTTTGGTGCTTCAGCAAGGGGTGCAGAGTTCCCCATCACGTCCACAAGAGTTGCGCTGACTTGCGGGGTGCATTGGATTTACGGAGCTTGCTTGCCCTGCACTCGAAGTTCCCGGAGCAAAGGCAAGCGTTTCGAGTTCAGGGCTCAGGCATACGAATCCGTGACTGCATAATGAGCCGTACGGAACATCGGCAAAACGAAGAATACTGCACCTGCATGCAATTATGTACATGCGGGTAAAAACGTCAGAGGGGCTGTGAGTGCGTATGTCCATGGACTAGATGCTCATAGAAATTCCTGCTTCTAATTAAGCTTCATGTGTAGACAGCGCAACCTTCCCAAGCTGTAGTAACGGCAGCTTCTCCTAACAGGGGACCACCCCCCACCCCCCCGCGCATCCTCTTGCAGCTGCTGCATGCTATGCAAACATGGAACGATCTAGTGACCAGCCCCCGAAACCGAAACCCCAAACTCTACACCCTGCGACGGGCCTTCTGCTTGGAAATCCGAAGATCTAAACTAAACTCAGCCTCTAGACTCTAAACTCTAGACTCTTTTTGATCGACGTCCCTGCGAGGTGCCTCCAACTTTCCTGCCTCATCGATGGCTCGTACCCTTCACCCCTGTAGGCCCTCTAGCATAGATGCCCGGAGAGTCCTGCGGCTACCGGGGAGGTAGCGCTGATTCCCAGATGTATGGCGCCAGCGAAACGCACCAAGCCCACATGGACTTCGACATCCTTTCAGTTCCCAGAAAGCCCACAAGCCTTCAAGCAATATACCAGAAAAATAGATCTTTGCTGGTTTTGCAAGGAGTATTACACAGATCACAGATTCGAGGGGCTCATTAATCAAGAAACATACCTCAAAGGTTAAAGGGATCCTTGCTATGGCTTGAAGCTCTGCTCCATAACTAAAGTTTTTTGGGTCTGCTGGGTCTTCACAACTCGCGGCCTTGACTTACCATAACTAACCAATGGTTTTGGGGTTCCTTTGGCTCTTTAGCTCCTTATTAAGTAGGGATTATCATCATCCCTGGCTCCTTAGCTCCTCCAATATCAATGGTTAGAATAACCTGCTTTTTTGCAGGGGCCACTGTCCTTCGTAAGACCACTGGGCCAGGGTGATATTGAGACGCTACAAAACGTAGATGTTTTCGCTGCGTGTCGTCGGCCCCATCCCCCCAATGGTATCCCTAATATATAGGGGCTTTACTATGGCCTTAATAATTAGAATAGGGTTTTGGGGCCCACTATACTATAAGTAAAATAAGGAGCCCCCAAAATAGTATAGGTCTTTATAAAGGCCCCTCTGCAGGTCCATGGGCGGGGTGACCTGCCGGGACGCAACCATATATCGGTTTGGGATTGCGGGCTTGGGTTGGGGTGTGCGCCGTTGGGTACCCACCGGTGCTATCAGGATCTAAGAAACACTTCCGCATCGATTCCGACGAACCTTAGTAGGGCTTTGGGGCACAGCAACACAAAGCTGCCTCATGTAGGGGCCTTAAGAATTAGCATAGGCTTTTGCCGCAGATTCTACTACATTATGTATAATACTGTGACATATATACCATATATATATATACCCCCCCCCCAAAACCCACGCTTCGCTGTCAGGTACTCTCGACTTGCCCAACTTCATCGGGGCATATGGATGCAGCTGCAATAACGTTCAAGGTCTTTCAGGGCTTCTCAATTTGAGGGATTCGCGACGCGACGTGTAAGTATCTGATGCTCAAAGGGTCTCGCTGTGACGGATACTTCAGCGGATTTGCGGATTCGCAGATTCGCAGATTCGTGGATTCGCGGATTCGCAGATTCACAGATTCGCAGATTCACAGATTCGCAGATTCGCAGATTCGCAGATTCGCGGATTCGCAGATTCGCAGGTTCGCAGATTCGCGGATTCGCAGATTCGCAGATTGTATATGCGCCACAACCTATGGTCTGTCAAATCTGCGAATCTGCGAATCCGCGAATCTGCGAATCTGCGAATCTGTGAATCTGCGAATCCGCGAATCCACGAATCTGCGAATCTGCGAATCTGCGAATCCGCAAATCCGCTGAAGTATCCGTCATCTGCAAATCTGCGAATTTGCGAATGTGCCAACCTGTGAAACATCATGACATCCAGATTTCGTTTCTTTCTTAAGCACAGAGGCTGATACATGTGCGCATAAAGGAATCTGGTATAGTGCCAAGGCAGGAAAAATTTGTTGTTCCGGTGTGTGTGTAAAGACCCTGTTTGCTTCTTTTCAACATAAATCCAAATAGCGGCATCATTCAAAAAGTTAACCTATGTGAAAGCTTCTTGTGGCTTCTTCATGCCTGTGGTTAATCAGATTACATACTTGAAATACTAACTAAACATCCCATTCTATAGTGTTCTGCTTATATCTTCATTGTCATTTTTCACGTGCCAGACTAGTTGTCTTTTGGCCATTCATCAGTCCAACTCATGTATAGGAACCCACTATCATTGCCAAAATGAAGCCTCTAATCTGCATGCGGGCGTATCTAAATGCATGTCGGTTAAATTTTCTGCTTATATCAAGATAAGGAGCTAGCCATTTCAAACGGTTTAAGCACATATTTAGTCTACTTGCTGCCAAGCCGAGTAATTGTTTTTCACCTTTTGCATTCTGACAGCCCTATGCCAGAGGCAAGCAATTGAAAACATATGGGTTGGTGAATGGATGCACTTGTCCCGTGATTGAAACATGACCAGACCATGGTAATGTAGATAATTAGCTAATTCCAGGTGCTTACACAGTGTATGTCAAAGTATTATGTATACACAAAAACGTTGATTTAACCAGTCACCTAATAAATTTACTGGCAATATTTGTCAGTGGTATATCCGTGCTTTCAGAATTTAGTTTATGATGGACGTTATGACAGTAAACTGAACGAGTTGTTTGGTCCCTACTTGAACTAACCCATGTAGCACGCCAGCGATTTTGCGAGTATTATCACGGATACATTGAATACTACGAGCCAAGACGAGGGACTGGTGATATCAGTGGCCAGCAGGGATTTCTACTACGGATTACTAGTACTCATACCACCACTCAAGCTAAACGAAATGCTCTGAGCGTTGGCAACGATGGTAATATCTGACGTCAATACTCGTAATAATGTGGGAGCAGGTAATGCTAGGCGAGGAGCTAGAGGATTACGGGCAGCCTTGGTTTCGAGAATGTAGTGCTGCGGTGACTTGCAGGCCGCAGGCCACAGACATGTAGAATTTCAGGGTTCGTGGGCTGCAAAACAGGCCGAACCCAAATCCCGCTTAATGTTCTGCACGCCGGGCCCAATACTAATTTCAGTTCTCAGGGGTGACTTCCTACAACGGGAAAGGATTAAGCCGATGTAGGGAAATTGGCTAGTCAATGGTTCTAGAAGACAGCAGGCTTCTCATCCAAATCATGTCATATTGTGGAATGAGTCAGTTAATCAACAGCTAGGTTCGTTCAAGGGGACCTGGAACCTACACGCAGGGCTTCGGGACTAGGGCTTAGGGCTGAGGGTTCAGGGTTTAAGGTCTCTAGGGCTTATAGTGCTTACGATTGAAATTGAGATTTGTCTGTCTGTCTGCCAATTAGAAACACTCCTTTTCCTTTTCGATGTTTTCCTCCGGAGCTTGTTTGGTTATCTGTTCCTGTTTGGCTGGCTCATACAAACAATAATTGTGGAAATATGCTTTACGGAACTTCCAACGAAGCAATCAGTTCTGATAATATGGCAGTGAGGAAGGGGAAAATTGAATATAGTGGCTCTTAGTCTGAAATATTGGCCAGCACGGAAAACAATGTTTAATTTTAGGGTGGCTCAAAATATGAAATATTTATAATTCTAGTTATTAAGCAGATAACAGCAATACTTCACTAGATTATCTTGTCTACACCGTATTCTGCACACACGTGGATAGCACATGCAGGAATGCTGGAGTGAATTATCAGGATCTTTTACTAGTTCTTGCGGGTCTTGGCGGGGGGGGGTAGCATATATATATATATATATATATATATATATATATATATATATCACCCCCTAAAATAGCATAGGTAATAACAGTTGAGGCCCCTATTTTGCTATCCCGTGGCCTCAGGCCGAGGCCACGGGCTTGTGGCTCGGGCTTCGAGGCTGTACTCCAGGCACCCATTGCTGGGGAATGCAGAATTTAAGGAAGAAAGAGAGAGAGAGAGAGAGAGAGAGAGAGAGAGAGAGAGACAGAGAGAGAGAGAGAGAGCCCGAAAAAAGAACAAGCACAAACGCTTTCCTAGCTGTCCCGTCCACTCAAGCATGCAGCGGATGCAAAACTATTCAGCCAAGTCTCAGGGTTGTGGTTCGTCATATCCAAGAGGGGGCACAAAGCTGCCGGACAGTCGTTTACCAAGCCTCTTCCCTCCGTTTCATGGAGAGCTGGGAGCTCGTCACTGTTGCTTTGAAGACAAGTTGCCAGCTGCTGGTTGGAGAAACAGCGCGAGGACAGAGAGGACCGAGCCCAGAGGAAGGCTTGAAACGTGTAGCGCTGGGCGGGGAAGACGCTTGGCAGCTCTTGAGACAGAGCAGGGAATAGTGAGTCGTAGACGTCACGGAGCTGCGCCATGTGACGCGCGGCTTCGTGAAAAAGCTGGGTGCCCTCCAATCGTTCTTGTCGCTCACTGTCCGTCCACCAGAGAGGATCGTTGTGTGTAGCTGGAACCAGTCTCAGGTAGCTATGCCACTTGCTTGCTGGGTTGTGCCAGCCGTCCAGCATCACGATGTACATGAGCGCTTGTGCACTGACACGCCTGTTGCGCTTGGCGGCGCTGCTAAGGACTGTCTGGCCGATCTCCGTTTCCGCAGCTGCAGCAACCGTCAACAGTGCATCCACTGGGACTGACAAACCAATCTCCCCAGCTTTTATATCCTTCGCGGCCAGCAAGCCCAACCCCGAGGAGGTTTGCTCTACGCGCACACGGCTCATGTCACACGACTGCTCCTGGCACCACTTGCAGAAAGCTTCTATCATGGCCCTGGGCTCGTCAGCTGCCATGGGTCAGAGCCAAGATTGAGCTCAACTATGAAGGGCTTGGGGTATCGCTGCCACTGTTTAACGGCTAAAAAAAGGGTTTAAGGGTTTAGGGCCAAACGGTTTAGGGGCTCTTCATTTATATCCGAACGGCTCTCAACTAGACTGCGCGGAAGATGGGAAGAAATGCAGGATACCAGAGAACGTCAAAGCTCCCTATATACCTAAAAACTCTGACCCAGTAGCCGACGTGAGCTGGAACCGTTCAAGGCTGCCGAAGCCGACTCAGACTGCAACAGGTTGAAATACTGCAGTTTCGGCGCTTAGGGAATATAAATAGGGGCCTTCAGAGTCGGAAAGGGTCTGGGCTTTGGGGATCTCTTGAGCTATAGAATAAGAAGGGTTTGGGATACATCACACCATAAATGTAGAGGGAACAGGATTTGATGACTACCTGTTCAGGCTTTCACACTACATTTCCCACTGCTCGCACCAGGCAGGCAAGGATCCAGACGTCTGGGACACCATGGGGCAACAAGGGTCTAAGTGTTTAGTGGAAGTTGAGGGATTGCGGTCGATTTTGAGTCCACCTGGACCCTTGGAAACCCTAAGGAACCCTGCAGTCCTAGGCTTCTTGGGATTCAGGTAGGGCTGTGGGTGCAAGTAAGTAGACAAAGGGCTTGGGGATGACTGCGGGGGGCCAACCTCTTGAAGCGGCTCATTCTTGGGGTGCGCATGTTCGCCTGCTTGCTCAGCATATAGATTTTAGCGCAAGATCCAGACCAAACAGCCGAGCCACGCCAGCAGGCAAATGTCCTCAGCGCAGGACTAGAGGATGACGGGTTCTTATGTTCTTTGCGGCAGTTTTCCCAGCCACTCTCCCGTTCTCTCCGCCTCTCTCGTGCACTGAGGGATACCTGATCTCCACTTGCTATGGAGCAAACCCGCAACTGGATCAACTTCTCCCATAAATGGTGCAGGTTTTGCGGTGTAGTACTCTCCTTGGCCAAGAACCGTTGGGAAGTGCCGCGCCTACAAACTCCAAGAGCGAGTTGCAGCGCCCACAGCCCAAACCCTACGCAACAACCCCAACCCTGCACCCGCAGCTCAAGGCTAAACTCCCCAGTCTCCCCGTCTTGTTAACTCGGGAGAAAGCTTAGGATTGACACTGGACACGATTGAGGCTCCTGACTCGAACCTAATGTAGGGGCCTTAATAATCAGAAAAGGGTTCCCTTTAAAGGGTTCCTTTAAAGGGGTCTATATATAAGGGATCTATATCCGGGTTTCATAATATAGGGGCATAACTAGAATAGGGTTTTGGGGTCCATCATACTATAAGCATAATAAGTAGCTCCCAACGTAGTACAGGCAATTCTTTAGGCCCTTCAGTACATTCGGTTGATCACTTTGGTGTTCCGTGCTATTCTGTATGCTACGCTTACTTGTCCAGTATCTTACGGGTGCGAAAAGGTTAACCTGAGACCTGTGGGATTAGAAGCGGATCAGAGTACCTAGAAAGGTTAGAGGTTACCTTCCAGAACCTTCCTTGTACCCTCAAACAGGGGTATATGGTCCCGAAAAGTAAGCATTTAGCGTCTCATAGAGGGTAGAAGGAGGGTCTGGGTGGTCTCCGCCTAAGTACAACCGGTGCTTTCGGATCAGGGTTTATGGTCCGGGCGTGGCGCTGACGGCATTAACGAAGAGGCGCGGCCGAACTACCTGACACCCCACCCACATTCATAATTGCACTCCTAAAATATGCGATATTCGTAGTACCCGTCCTTCTTGTGACCCCAACCAGCAGAAGGACCCATCGAACCGTTTTGCAAACGGGCTATGAAGTTCTGGCCTGACATGTTCGAAGCCCTAAACCCTGCCATGTCTCCATGGACATCGACAGCCACAAGGGCTCGGGAATGCCAGCGGAGCGCCGGTCGATGTCTGCGCAAGAGAGATAAGCATCGAACCTTCCAGGGCGGGGTTTCCATGCGAGCCTAGCCCAGCACTTACTCATAGGATCAGTTCATAGGATCCTAAGCAGGGTCCATGGGGGTTTAAGTTTTTGAGGTTTAGGGGTGTACTTGGAGGGGCAGGGGACTTAGTAAGCACCTCTAGTGTAGAAAGCAGGGTTTCTACAGTACAAACGAATACTGCGGTTTGATAAGCACCCCCCATTTATGTAACATAAGCCGCGGAAGCCTTCTTATGGCTTTAATGCTATCGGGTGCTACGGTTTGTCTCCGCTGGCTCTCGATGCTCCCAGTGAAGGTTCCTCGTTGACGGTTTGAGTGTGCCAGGACCCTCCTTGTACCCTCAAACATGCGTATATGGTCCCGAATAGTAGGTATTTAGGGTCCGATAGAGGGTAGGATCCTACAAATTTAGGGTCGCGATGATGGCAGGAACGGGTATGACCACATTGGAGGAACCCTTGAGGAACACAAGCAAAAAATACAGTGCGAGTACCCCTCGTAATGACCTTAACAGTAATTCAACCCTCAACGACCCCGGGAATCCACACTTTAACTCCGTAGAACTAGTACTCTCTGCGTCTGGCGGTCACGGCAGCCAAGAACTCACACGGCTACAGTTCACGGTTTAGGGCTTGGGTTTGGGGAAGTTTTGGGTTGAGGCAGTTGCTTCTGAAGTCTGTTCCTCTGCCTCATGTTTCTGCTACAGGTAAGGATTTATGAGTCGAGAGTTGAGGGTTCAGGGCTGTACGTGCTCTGGCACGGTCTAGAGTTTAGGGGGAGGGCAAACAGAACTCTGCAAGCTCTTCGCGAACGAAGCTCGGAGGGCATGCGAATGGTTGGACGATCCGTGGAGCTCTGTATGCCGTGCTTTCAAATAACCCTCGAGAAGCTTGCAGCAATTCACCAGACCGGTGTATCTAAAGATGATTACACAAAGCAGCCGCGGTTGCATCGCGGAACTCTATACGGGAGTTTCCCATAATTAGGGATACCTTATTTTGGGGTCCTTATAATAAGGATCCTACTATTTAGGTAGTATACTAGGCTCCCCTATCTTCAGAAACCCCCCATACGGAACAGCAATACACCAATTATTCAGCTTCGTCAGCGTCTGACACCGACGGGAAAGCTCCAAATACTTTAGGGTTTAGGGTTTTAGGGTTTCGGGCCTCAGGGTTTGGGGTTCTAGGGTTTTAGGGTTTAGGGACTGAGGGTTTGGGCTTAGCATGGTCTTAGGTGTGAAACACCTACCGCTACAATCCATGTTTCAACCTCCTTTGGGTTACTGGGGGTTCCAGGAATGAGGGCCTCAAAGCTTTCTGGGTCCTGGGGGGGCAAGATGTGGGGGTTTCCGAACATAGGGGACCCTAATACAGTACCCTAAATATAGTAGGAGCCTTATTATAAGGACACCAAAATTAAATAAGGTACCCCAATTTTCGGAAACTCCCATGACTGAAGTCCCACAGTCTGAAATCCCAACTTGCAGCGCAGGGGCAGGGTCAAGAGGCCAAGGCAGTTGCCAGTAATGGGGTGCTTGAGAAAGGTGGTCACCATCTGAGTATGCCTTTGACAGCTCAAAAGGTGGCTGTACAAAAGAAGCAGCATATGTTCGGGGTCAAAACAGGGCCACGCCCCAGTCAAAATCTATATAAAATGCCCAGCGGAGAGGACCACAGCCCCACTGTTGCATGCAGGGGCACGGACACAAACCGGACCCGACATCCAGCAAACCACACATGGGTAGCTATCAAAATTAGTGTCCCTTTTTGGGCACCCCGTAAACTCTAAACCCTTTTTGGGTACCCTAAATATTAGGTGCCGTATTATATTAAGGACCCAAAAAAGGACCCTAATTTGGACAACCACCCGCACGGAGAGAGCCTCCGAGGCCAGGTGTCACATTTATTCAACCCGGCGACTCAAATCTCCCTTAATTAAGGCATATTCCTTAAATCATATTAGGTAGGGAAGCTATAATTTAAGGAATATTCCTTAAATCATATTCGGGAAGCTTTAATTTAAGGACTATTTCTTGATTGAGGGATATTGGAGTCTCTGGGAACACCGAAGTTTTCAACTCTCAAAAAGTGGGGCTCAAATGTACACGGAACTGCTGCGGCGCAAGAAAACCGCGTCAGTCTTGATTACAAGACTTTCAGGTTTAGGTGTCAGAACCGCTTAAGTTTAGAGAGCTTCTGAAGCAACTGGGCGCCCTGCCGATGCTGGCTCACTGCCACCGTTTGCCCTCTGGTCATGATGAAGTTGGAAGTCACCCCACCGGTTCCTCGCTGCAAACAGCAGGCAGGTGTAACGTCCACGACGTGTAAAGCTTTTTTTTGCCACGGTCTGGGGCCTAGGCTAAGTTGTGATATCTGAAGCGCAAGGATATCTGCAGAGGACATGCATCTTGTTGCGGAAAGCACTGGTGCCCTCCCCCCTCCACCTTCCGCGAGCCAAACGTCAGGTCTTGGGAGTAGCAAGGCTTCGGGTTTCATGATAATTGCGAGCTGCTAGCTACCTGGGCCAGAGTCTGCTGCAGCCACATTGAGCCCAGTCACTCGCCCCAGATGTACTGCTCATTCCTGCCGTGTTTCTGGGCTGCTCCAGCGAACACAAGATGGACCATGAAAGGGTGATGCGACACAACAAAGGCAACTGCATACGACGACGACGACGACGACCAGCAGCAGCAGCAGCAGCAGCAGCCGTAACGGAAACGGCAGAAGCAACAGCAGAGTCTACAGCATAAATAATTACCAACTCCTGAGGCAGCGGCAATGGCTACAGCTTTCAGCACGAACCGAAAACCAACAACTAACAACCAGAACAGCAAGAACAACCGCGACAGCAACCAACAACCACAACCACAAACGCAGAGACACAAATAGCGACCACAGCAACCAATACAACAAGAGCAGCAACAACCACCACTGCAACGACGACGACAACAGCCACTGCACTGACCAGAGACTAGTAACAAACAACAGGAACAGTAGGCGTGGCAGCTGCACAACGGCCACCAAAGTAGTAGGAACAACGGCAGTAG